CAAAAGAACCATTGCCATATCCGAGAAGTACACTTACAGTGTTGTCAAAATAATTAACAGCGACGAAATCTAGTCGAGTGTCATTGTTGAAATCACCAACAGCGACAGAAGATGGGCTTGAGCCAGTTGAATATGTTTTTTGTGGTTCAAAACCTTCATCATAACCAAAAAGAATACCTGTACTTCCGGTATCATTGCTGATGATGATAACATCAAGTAGATTGTCGTTATTAAAATAAGCTACAGCAAGCGAGATTGAAGAAGAAGAGCCAGTTGAATACAGTGTTGGTTCAGAAAAACTACCATTACCAAGTCCCAGTAACATTGCTATGTTATTTGTACCTTTATTGCTGACGATTAAATCAAGTCGATTGTCTTTGTTAAAATCGCCAAGACCAATAGAATATGGTGAAGAAGTATTAAGCGAGTATGTTGTTTGACTTGTAAAAATGCCGTTAATGTTACCGAGAAGTACACCGACATTGTTAGCTCCATGATTAGCGACAGCAATATCTAATAAACTATCATCATTAAAATGACCAACGATGAGTGAATATGGGTGTGAATTAATACCAGTAGAAAATATTTGTTGATATGAAAAGGTTCTGTTGCCATTTGCAATGAGTATAGCTATATTATTTGTACCATAATTGGCAGTAGCAAGATCTAAATAATTATCATTGTTAAAATCTGCACTGATAACCGAGAATGGTGAAGAGTCATAGCCAGTTGAATATGTCATCGGATGTGCAAAACGTCCATCTCCATATCCATGAAATATGCTAATACTATCGGTTCCATAATTAGCAGTAATAATATCGTACGATGTGTCATTATCGAGATCAGCTATATGTATCCAAATTGGACGGGATGAACCAGTTGAGATCACTGTTTTATTGATGAAAGAGCCGTTTCCAAATCCAAGAAATATACCGATGCTATTAGTACCGAAATATGCGACAGCAATATCCGAGTGATAATCGTTGTTAAAATCACCGATTGCTACCGGGTATGGAGCAGAATATAAACCGGTCGAATACGTCATGTTGCTTCCAAAACCACCGTTATTATATCCAAGGAATACAGATATACTATCAACGAGATGATTGGCAACAACAATATCGACCAAATCGTCTTCGTCGAAATTGCCAACGGCAACAGATCGAGGCCCAAAGTTATATTCAATTGGGTTTTGAGGAGTTTGTATAAACTTCAACTCACAATTTTGGACTAAATAAACAAGATAAATAATGTAAAATGGAATAAGTTGTTATTATGTAATTATTCTTATTGAATTCATAAAATCTCATGTAGTTTTTGAGCGCTCAAGTATTAAGTAGATGACATGTATACTTATTCACTTTTTTCCATTTATTATAAAATTGTTTAAAAAAAACGCGTTGTTTTGATGTAAGAAGAAATGATATTAGTATCTCAAAAGGATGGAATCAAATGAATATTAGTTTTATTGTGTGACGATAATCACAAACAACATACAGAATATAATAAGATATTTATCGACTGATGAAAACTCTTCTTCCTCAAAGAAATACACTAGTTCTATTTATTATTTTATCATACTATTTCTTTGAAGAGAAAAGTTCTATAAAATAATATAATAAATCAAAATAAATTTATATCATATATTTAATTGGTATATGAAGAAAAAGCAAAACGTACCTTTTGATTTCGGAGAAGTCAGACAAACAATCAATATACTTGTGACCATTGTTAGAATTGTGAAGAGAGCAAATGCACCTACAGCCGTTGCAGTTCGATGTTTTGACCAACACGATTGTTTCCTAATAAAAATACATTCTATATATATTATGAGGCTTGAAATGAAAAGAAAATGACATACAAAGGTGTTGAAGTTAGTGACAACTTCTTTATTTTCTTAGTAACATCGACAGATTCTGCTGCATTAGACTGATTTTGTACTGAATTCTCATGTTGCGCATTGTTCAAGTGAATATCTTGCTCGGTAAATGAATGCCTAAGCCTGATAGCCCCATTATCCACAGATTTTTCGTTCATCTATAGTAAAATAATCATATTTAACAAAAGACAGTTTTTTAGAACAAATTTTCTATCAATTACCTTTTGTATTATTGATTATGTCCTCTGAACGTAGAAAATCTGAAAATTCTTGATAAATAAGAAAATTTCTAAAAGAATAGATAAACTAATGTAAAAATTTAAATATAGAATATTAAATGTCAGAAAAATTTATCTGCCAATTGTTCTTAATCGACAGAGAAAAATTTAAACTATCTCGAACGGATACAATAGTTGAAATAATTTGAGCCTTATCATAAATTAAAACGTACAAGATAAATAAATATTAAAAATATGTATGTAGAAAATAGTTTGAGCCGATATATAACTTCTTTTTTCTCGAACTGACTTGATTAACTTAACTACTTTTGGGTACCCTTAAGTAATTGGTCAAATTAAAAAGCTGTACTAACATCCTTTTAAATGATCTCGTTGTCTTCTTGATTTATTTATTTGTTCATCAAATGGTAATAAGAAATGATTTTATTATAACTTAAGGCTTTGATATAAATTACTTCGATCGATCATTTTGATTTCATGGGTTATAATTTGATGTTACTCCTCAGTTTTAGTTTCCATGGTTTTGTATGTAACTAATAAAATTGATAATCACTAGAAAAGACAGTTAGCGGTAGTTTCTTTCCAACAAAAAAACAGGAAAAATGGTATATGAAACCAAAACGAAATGAAGATTGAAAAAAAAATAGATAAAAATGTATTGTCCTATAAAAAATATAAGCTAGTACTTTACAAACAGTAATAGTTAATTATTCTCAAATGCTTTGACGAAGAATATTTATTTCAGTTTTAAACAAAAATAAAGTATAAAAAAAGGATGGTACTTACCTCTGTTTGATATTACAGTATGTGTATCGTTTACTTTTTCGTCTGAGTATTTATTCTCACTGATCAATAAGATTATTATCTAATGGATACCTTTTTTTTTTATATATGTTGAGTCATTGTGCGACTGAAATATATATATAAAATATTTTACTGACGAAATAAATAACGTCAAAACAACATTATAGTCATGTAAATCCTACGAATAAGATTTAAAATCATTTGACAATTGGATGCACATATATAATGCATACGATTATCTTTATAATATCGACAAAGAATAAAATGACAAGATTAATTGCTTCGGAATAAAAAAAATACATACATTCTAATGAAAGGAATTTGATTTTTCATTGTTTTATCTTATGTATAGGCGTTTCCCCATCAATCACATTTGTGATGAGATACAGATACATACAAAACAAGTAAAAAAATGTAATTGCGAAACAGATTAATATTATTTTGTTGACGATCATTTTTATAATCAAGTGAATACAGTAGACAACTGCATTTCAAGTACCATTGTAAATTGTCAAGTCATTCAGTTACATCCATTTGTAAATACTCTGAAAATTTAAGGATTAATTTATTAGGTTTCCAATGATCATCGAAATGTTTTACATTAGCAGCAAATGTCAATAAATAAAAAGTATCTATAAGAATTTAATTCTTTACTACTTTTTTTTGAAAAAACGAATATAACAGATAATAACCGAAATGAAAAACTGAAGAAAATCACAAATTAAAGTTTAATAACAATTCAACAATCATCCATCTTTTTATAAAAATTTTCAATAGTTGTTAAATGTTCATACCAATGATAAGTATTCCCTTTAAATTATTTCAACTTTTTTTTTCTTCCGATAGAGATTATCGTTCACTTTTTCTTTAAGCATATATTTTTACTGATCGGCAAGGTAACAATATTATCTGTAAATTTGTTTGGATATATATCTTATGAAAGATAAGATGGCAGAGTCATTTTTAGATATAATTTTTTGTACATTAATATAGATGGTGAGTGTTTTCCACATTTTGGATAATATGTAAAGAAATTTGATTGAATTAACACTGAAAATAAGTAGATATTTCTTCATTACAAATTTAACTAATAAATAATATAAAAATCTATATTTATTCTTAATAAATGCAACTACTAATACTTAGATATTTAATTTATTTCATCTGAATTTTTCTTTTCGCCGATTAATGAAGAAATCATTTCATTAACAAACCTTTTTTTTATTTAAATAATACGCACATTGTTTAAGACGTATATCATTAATGAATGAAACAATATGAAAAACAACAACATTACTTCGATTTAGTAACGACAGAATATATGCATGTGCATACATGCTTCAATAGTTTATTATGAAGACACACACAAGAGAAGCAAAGAAAATGTCGTTCTATAGTATCAACGTGGCGTCTCCTCTTTTTTTTACCGTTAATTATTATGAGTTACACGTTGAAAAAAAGGTAATTTTGTAATAAATACGAAAAGAAATTATTTTCGATTTTTGAATGTTTATTTTATTGTGTGAAATCGAATATTATACTTAAATTATTTATAGAGTAATAAGAGAAAATATTTTTCCTATTAATTTAATTTTAAACGTTAACAATTAATGAAATTAAACGAAAAAATATCTGCTTTTACTTTTTAATATATAGCAAACATTTTCCTATTGTATTTTTCAAATTAATGATCTGAAAAATCTCTGTTCAGTTCTAATGTCAGTTTTCTTCTCGAAGCCCAGAAATTTTTTTACTGTCCGAATATTTTCTTGTAAAAATATCAATGTCAAAAATATTGAAATAAACTCAGGACGACTTCAAATTTCCTACCTCCAATTACCCTTTAATCAAACTTTATAGAAAAAAAATATTTGTCGTAAAATACCTTCGTTTTTACTAAAAAAATTTCAAAAAAACTAACAAAATATTTAGATTTTTCACCCCCGATTACCACTGGTGAAGATTTTTCAAATGCATCGCGCTCAGATTTCATTGGTTTTTAAAGTGCTGATTATAAATTTTACTTAGTAGAAATCAACTTAGCATTTATAAATTTTTACTTTGCGCGGTTTTGAAAATGTTTCTAAATTTTAACTAAACTCACATAAACCTATTTATTTAATTTAAAACTAGAAAAAAAGACCCAAACACCTTAACAATATTGAAACTAAGCAACTATAATATCTTCATTAGAACTAAGATCTTCCAAAGTAAGATCATATCGTTTTTCTACTTCAGTAGCTGAACCATGAACAATACCAACATATTTTTTTGGTATTGATGTACCAGGATATGTTTCTATTTCTCCAATTTCATGAATGAAATCAATACCCTGAAGAACACGACCAAAAACAACATGATGTCCATCAAGCCAACGAGATGGTACTAAAGTAACAAACCATTGTGAACCATTTGTATCTTTTCCATGACTTAACAAAACAGAAACAAGGTAAATTATAAAAATGAAATTTATTCTATGCTTACTTTGCCATTGAAACCCATCCAGCTGATCTATGACTAAGACGAAAATTCTCATCGACAAATTTTGTTCCATAAATACTTGTACCTAAATCAAAATTTTCAATTTTTTTCTTTTCTTGATATGAATACTCACTTCCTGTACCATCACGATTCAGAAAATCACCTGTTTGAATGCAAAAATCTCGTACAACACGATGAATTGGTACATCATTATATGTAAAATTGATCTAGAATTTATATGAAATAAAATAACTGGTTATTTATAATCATGTTATACTTACATTACTACGAACGACACCATTCGTGATCGTAACAAAATTTAAAACGGTCATAGGAACAATTTCACCAAAAAGTCCAATAATAACTTTTCCTTCAGATAAAATTTCATCTGTTTCAGCATTTTCTTTAATAACAATATTAAATACAGCTTCATGTGTAATTCGATAATGTTTTGGAGCACTGTTGTCAGGTGTATCACTAACTATTCCATTTAATAAACATAGTAAAGTAACAATGGTAAGGATAAATTGTTTCATCATCATGATTGATATTTTGTATGATACTCTTTGATTTCTAACTCTATTATATATATACTGATTTAATTACATATTTGCAAGTCAAATTAAAAGATCTATGACCATCTGTGACTATATTTTCCTACGTGGCTCTTATGCCACGTCAACACAACACCAGGTATCATTTCTTTTTTTTTGAAATTTCCATATAAATATATTCAGAATTCTAAGTAGGCATCAATAATATAATGCGAAGAATAATTTTTAATAAGAATCAGCCACATCATCAATCATTTGACCATACAAAATAATATCCAACGAAGAAAATAAGTATTAGCCAAAGAGATATAGTTCGATAAAAATTTGATATTCGAATTTTTTCTTTTTTATACTGATTTGTTGTTTTTATTGAAATTTGTTTTTTTTCTTGAAACTTTGAATTAATTTCAATCAACAGAAATTGAATTTCTTCATGTAATTTCTTTAAATTAGTAAATAAATCAATACGTAAATAAATAAATCGATTAGTTAATTCAAAATTTGTACATAGTTGACGATATTGTATACATAATATACAAGTTATACTTATTTTATGTAAATAATAAAATATATTTCTATAATATTTATTTCCATGATTAATAAAATAATTTAAATGATTTAAATCTTCATAAAAATCATTTAATATATTATTCGAATAATTAATCGTTAGATATTTACGTAAAAGATAATGAAAGATATTTGAATAAATTTTAAAAAAATAATTTTTATAATAAAGATTTAAATCATTAATTATTATTGAAAAATGTTCAAGGATTAAGAAATATTTTCTTGATGGAATCGGATATGATGAAGAAAATTTTGTAAATTGACATTCAAATTTATATAATTGATTTAGAAAAAGATTTGTTTCTATACATAAATGAATAATTTGTGATAGGCAATAATTTAAATCATCCATAGATATTGATCTGGCGCTAGGATTTATAATTAATTGCTATTTTTTTTCTTTGGTTTTTATTTTATTAGGGTAATGAAGAAAAAAAAGTTACAGAAGGAATAGAGAAAATAATTTCGACCGGGAAAACAATCGAATGTAACGTTTAAAATCCAACTACGGGAACTAGGAAAGTGCAAGCTGCTTGACATATTTCATTTTTATTGTGTTTTAGAGGGCTAAAAGAAAAGAAAATCAAATTAAAAAATAAATAATATAGTTAAATAGAAATTATTCGCTTACCGTTAGCACCTTGGAAACGTTGACATTCCTTTAGAAGAAGAAAATAAAATAAAATAAAATTTATTTCTAAGATATATTTACTTTTAATGCTTCCCAAAATCCTTGACATTGTGTCGAATCTCCACCAGCTGTATCAAGACATTTCATGAATTCTTTTTGATATAAATTACATCGTTCAGCTGTATATCGTTCATTTGGTGCTTGATAGAGTGGTTGAGCATTTGGACCAGCTTCTTGGACAGCTGGTTGATCAGAACCACGAGATCCACCTAATATTTATGGAAAAATAAATATCATTGCATCATCTAATGTTTTCGAAATTTTACCAGTAAGAGCATGACCGATTGTGTGACCAACAGCAGAGCCAATAGCTACACCACCTGCGGTGGCAGCCATTTGACCAAATAAACCAGGTCCACGTCCTTGTGGTGCCATAACTGGTGCTGGTGCAGATGGAGGTGGGTGTGCAACAGCACGGGGTGGAGGTGGAGGAGGAGCACTAAAAATAATTTTATATATATTCACAAATATAAAACATTTAATAGATAAACATACCGAGAAGGAGAAGATGAACGCATACCACCACCGGATCGACGAGGCATTTTTATATTATATAAATAAGTAGATATGAAGAAAAATCTATAAAATGAAATGTATTGATTATTGATTCCTATATATATATATATGCATAAATCTTTCTGTACAAGTCACATGAGTAAAATGAACTACTAAGTGCAAAACATTCGTCTGATGATGCAATGAGAACTCTTCCAATCCTGATTCATGTATCCATCTGATTTGATCTATCTATATATCCATAGATTGTATTTCTATTTGTTTATTTACTAGAATGTTCTTTACCCTTTTCTTCATGTTTATAAAATATTTCAAGTAATTATATTAAAAAAATACAGAAAAATTACTTTTATTTAACAGAAAATTTGTTAGAATAAAATATATTATTTCAAACATAATTCTTCATCAGAGAGGTATATATCTGAATTTTGATTGGTTATAAAATCCATATGGTTTTCATTTTGTGGTAAAATTTAAATGTAATAAAAAGAAAAGAATTTCTTTACACAATAAAAAAAATAGAAATACAAGGATGACTACAGATTCATCAAATATTGCTATTACACAGCATGTAGCAACACTTCTTGATGATCTTATTACTTGGCGAACTATTGGCAATAAACAATCAGGTTTGAAGAAAAAAAAGACATTGAATTTTCTGTAAAGACAATTTTTTTTAAATTATATTTTGTAGATATACGAGAAACAACTAATATTCAACCTCATGGTGGTGCTTGGATGCCAGCCGATCGTTCATTTGATCGAATATTATTCTGGTATAATTAATGAATTACATTTTTCAATCTATTAAATATTTAATTTCTAATAGGCGAACAGTAGAAAATAATTCATTTCAATTATTTGAATATTCAATGTCACGTAATCTTTTACATAACGCTCTTCAAATTCAATTTGGTGTATCAACAACTGTTTTACCAAATGTTTTTATTGTTGAATTACCTGATCGAAAAGAAATTTGTCTTATGTTTGTAACACATATTGGTGTTTATCGTTGGATTTTAAAACATCCAACATTATCCAATATTGGACAATTAGTAAGAATTTTAATATAGAAGATTTTGTGTAGTTAAAAAATCGTTTTTACTTCTAAGGAACAACCTCAATCGATACTTGCTGATATAACAGATGATTATTTAAATAATCGTAATCATTTCTATCGACATGATTTACAATTATATAGTCAAGTCACTTGTGCTTATACAAATGATCATTTGATTTATGCGTTATACAATGAAATCGAAACGATTATTCTTCGATTTGATAATCAAGATCATTTAAGTTAGTTATTTTAAAACAATAAAAAAATTTTTTATTCTATTTTATAATAAAGGTTCACCACAACAAATAATTTTCCCAAAGAGACAATCGTCAGGTTTATTTAATTTTCTTTGGAATCCAAAGTAAATTATTTCAAAAAAACTTCGAGAATTCTATAATTTCATTTGTTTCTTTTTGTTTCTAGTAAATCAGTAACACCTACTCAACAAAATCAACCATTAATTGCTGGTCAAACGACTATTATTTATAGTACGATGACAATGACAATCATACTTTACGATAATGGTCAACTTCGATTTTTATCCGATCAAGTAAAGAATTTTCTTTTAGTCTAGAATAACACTATGATAAAATTAATTTTTCTTTTAGCTTGATACAATTATTCATGAATATAATTTATCAACTGATCTTCCACGTTTATCATCAAAAATTCCAACAAAAATGTTTTTAGATTATTGTCAATATGAAACATTTTCTGATGAACTTGTAACACGTTTATTTGTTATTCTTGATTCCAATGAACTTCTTCATCTTCTTATATATGAATTTCAATATGATTCAAGTGAAAATTTTCAATTTTCTTTATATCAAAATAAAACATATTCCAAAAGTCTTCAATCAACTGATCATGCAAATTTACCACATGGTTCATCATTAACATCAGTAACATGTACAAATGATAGAATTTTATTTCATCTATTAACAAATCAAAATCGTTCAATACTTTTATTAATACACTATGAATTAAAAACAACTAATTATGAACAATTTATACAGTTACCTACGGATTCAAATGAAAAAATTATAAATGATGATTCAACAACAATCGATGATATTGAAAGAAGACTTAAATCACCAGGACAATTTACTATTGATATGATTAAAGATGCACTTTGGATTACATTTAATCTTAATCTAGATGAATATAATCAATCATGGACATCATTAACACAAATTCTTCAACAATTACCAATTATTATTCAAAGTTTGGTAAATGATAAATAGATATATATGAGACTGATAAGATTTTTGTTCTTAACATTAGATCCGATAAATGAAATCAATATTTTATTTCTAGTGTAATGATCATTGTGAAGAAAATTCAATTCGTAATGAAGATCGTTTACAAATTCTAACAAAATTCTGGCAAAATCTTTATAGTACATTAATTGATCTTCGTGCTCATGCACTTGTTCTATATGGTTGTCGAATATTCGATGAACGACAATTAATTATTATTATTCATAAAGTATTTTTAAATAAACAAATTTTTTTATTATTTATTTCTTTTTTCTAGTCAGCTGTATCACTTTATTCAATGTCAAAAGCAGCATTACCAATAAATCCAAAATATTCTCGTATGTCTTCAATCTATTCTAATAAAACGAAATATTTCTTTTATTTTTCTTCGGTAAAGGTTATGTAAAAGATATTGAATTATTAGTAAAAACATCGGACGATGAAACAATTGCTCGAATAGATGATGATTTATTTAATGAAACATCAGCAAATGAACAACAATTAAATACACAGTAAAATTTTTAATAAAAAAAAAAGAAAATTAATTTGATTTTATCATATTAACTAGACAATTAATTCGTATTCAAAAACATCTCGAACCAATTGTAAATAATGATCAATTAACTGAAATATTTCAATCAATTTATGATAAACATTCATCAAAAATAAATTCAAATGAAATTAATAATAATATATTTTCATCGAAAATAGCTCGTCGTTTAATAGTCCTCGTTTTTGTTCAATTATGTCATGAAAGAATTCATCAAATTGAACGTTTAAATAAATTAATACCATTAATATTTCGTACAAATCATGTAAAACTATTTTATTTACTTATGGAAAAAGAATTCTTAAAGAATTAAAATTTAATTTAGATTCGAATTAATTCACATCGTATAGAAAAACTTCAAGATCAAATTTTACCATATTTACAAGATTTATTACAAATTTATCAAATACTTTTATGGCTTTCATCATGTGGAATTGAATCATCATCAATAACTGTTGATGATCGGTAAGATTTGTTTTAAATAAAAATCAAAGAGTTTCTGTTAAAAGTTTTTCTAGTGATCTTTTTATTGAAAATCTTGTTTTTCAACAATCACAACAACGATATAAAACACGAATTGGAAATCAATCATTAATTGAACAAGTTTTAATGGATAATTATCCACAAGAACAAATTTTACCTGATGCAGATAATTGGTTTCAAATAATACTTCATTCCATTGATAATCTCTTGACACTTGTGTATGTTTAGATTTGCAAAGAAAATTGTTCTTTTTGTATTCCGAAATGATTTTCTTTTTAGATGGCCAAATAATGATTTTCTAATCACATATTTACCTAGTCGACATCAATGGACAATCTTAGATCAATATTGTGGAAAATTTTCTTGGTTTAAAGAATTGAATTCAGCAAGGTGAATTGATTTTAGTATTAAAGATTTCAATTTAAAATTATACTTTACTTGTTGTATAGACAATTTTTTCATGCATTAACATTTTATCGTTCGGGTACAAATATTGAAACAGCTACAAGACATTTAGCTGCTGTGTTAAAAGAACTTCATACTGATCCATTGCTATTGAAAATGTTTGGACAACAAACAATACCAGAATTATTTTATATAGAATGGGTATATTGTTTGTAAATTATATATTTTTTTCCCACAGACTGCTATCTATCTACAGAAGCTATCTTCATTTAGTTTCACATAGGAAAGTTGCATCAATATAGTTAATTCATTTCTAATGCTAACTGTTATGGCGTTAGAACAGATAGTCGTAGGACAAAATGTTGCAGAGAATCTTATCTACACATCCCACTCACTCACACCTTAATTATGTTTAATTAAAATACAAAAGAATTCTTTATTATTTTTTTAGATTCGAGAATATTTAAAATATTTTGGTCAAAGTCAACATGTTGCTTCATTTCTTCATCAATCTTTACAAAGTTCATATTCACCTGATATTCGTGTTTGTATCTATTATTCAATAAAAACAAAATTATTTAATTTTTCTTTTTCTAGGCTTTAATTATTAAAGAATTATTTAAAACAAGTATTGATTTAAAAAATTTCGATGATGCTTTTTGGTGTATACAAAATACAAATGATTATTTAAGGTTACATTTCTTTTTGTTTAAAATTATTTTCTTGCAATAAAATTAATTTTTTAGTCAGAAACAATTTACATTTGAATATGCATTAGCTATATGTTCATTATCAAATGAACAATCTTTGTATCGTCTTCAAACACTTGTTCAATATCAACGTGATAAATTAGGTTATATAGATTTTGAATTATTAGCTTATCTTGAACGAACATGTGTTGAAACTCAACCTATTCAATCATCACATGTGTATGCACTTTATGAAATTTATAAAACGATTAAATTACCATTAAAAAGTATGTTTAAGATATATTTCAAATAAAATAATACGTCAAGGTTATTATTTTTCTTTTTTTTTCAAGTGGCACAGATAATGTATCATTATGGTTGCTTAATAAATGATATAAAAGAACAAAAAAATGTTTTTCAATTAGCTTATGATGCTTTATCAACAATACAACAAACAAATGATTCAACTGATCGCTTATTTATTTATCCAATTAATTATGAATATAATGTAAACAACAAAAAAAACGAAATTTTTTTTAGAAAATTTTATTTTTTATTTTTTTTTAATAGTCTTTAGCACCTTTACATACTGATGATAATTCTTCTCAACTTATTAGTATTGATGAATGTCGACAAAAATTAGCAATTATATCTGCTATATATACATTAAAAACAAATCGTTCATCAGCAACTGTTCAAATAACTGATACAATGCATCCAACACAATTAAGTGGTCTTTTAGCAAAATTTCATTATCATACAGAAGCTCAACAATTACTTGATGCTTTTCATATAAATAAATCATCAATGTATTTTGTTCATTAAGATATAAGAAAGAAAAAAGTATAGACAAGAGATTGATCTAGTTTTTTGTTATCATTTTTTTTCTTATTTGTCATATTAAAATCTAGAAAAAAAAAAGATATGTGTTGTAGCCAATTTTTGTCTGGCATACATTTAGTAAAAAATAAAAATTCTGTTATGCGATATATAAATACATTAACTAAAAAAATCATCAACATCAGCAGCTCCATTTGTTGGTGGTGGTGAAGGAGTAGCAGCTGATTTCTTTTCGGTTTTCTTTGGACCAAAGGGAGGTTTGTATAGATTGTGATCAGGACTTTCAGCAGGTGATGGTGGTTGCTGCTTTCGACGAGGTGGGCTTTTTATATTCGATTTTGGTGCTGGTGCTGGCGCTGGTGCTGGTTGAGAAGGACGAGCAGCATTACCTGGTTTTAGAGCACCAAAGATCTCTTTTGATGCATCATTAAGCCAGTTATTAATATCAAAACTACGCGCCACTTCTCGATCATTTTCATCATCATCATCATCATCATCATCGACTACTGATGTATTGTTATTGTTATCTATATAGAGGGATGTTTAAAAAGAAATATAATTAAATGATATTACCTTTTTGTCCAGATGTAGAAGCTTTAGGTGATGATGGTATTGGTTGTACATTATGAGTATCCGATGCATCGTCATCGTCGTCATCATCTTCATCCTTAGTATTGTTAACGTCAGTTGCAGCTGAGGATGCTAAATAAAATAAACAGTTATTTTAATGTTTATGACTATCAAAGCAAAAAAAGATTTACAGTGATGTGTATCAGGATTATCTTCTTTGTCTTTTTCAATTATTGATGCATCATCTTTTATAATTGATTTTGTCTCTTTTTCTGGTTCTAATTGTGAGGAATTTGCTAAAAAGTAATTAAATTATTGCTAATCACATTAGAATAAAATTTAACGTACGAAGTTCAACTGATGGTTTTCGTGGTTGTTCTGGTGGTGGTGGTGTTGGTATCTTATCTATTTGAGGAGGGGGTGGTGTTGGTGTCTTGTCTGTTTGAGGTGGTGGTGGACGAGGCAATTCATTTTTATTGGATCGTTCTGATATATGTGATTCATTATCTGATAAATCCATAACACTATCATCATTTTTATTAACAATACTTTGATTTCTTGGTGTCGATTCAAAAATAGGTTCTGTTGGTATATCAGTCGGTGAATGACGACCAGTAGTTGTAGTTATTGGCGGCGGAGGAGGTGGTGATGGAGCAGTCTCTACTTTTTTTATGGGTGTTGATGGAACAGATTTAACTTTTGATTTTGGTGGTGTATTAATTGTTGTCTGTTTTACGAATTGAGGTGTTGGTGGTTTAGTTTCTTTAGTTGTTCGTTGAGATAAACCAGTAACAGTTGGTTCCCAAGCTGACTTAACTTTACTTTCAGCATTTGCAATACGTCTTTTAAGTTTTGGATCCCCATTACGTATTCTAAATCGACTTGGTGATGTTTTCCTCTGTGATATTGGCTCAGATTCTGTTCCATCAATACTCATACGTTTCCTAGTCGTTGTATCATATTCAGATTTTAAAGTAGGTTCAAAATACTTCGGTCGTCTTTCAGAAATTATTTTTGATGGAGGTTGCCATATACGTTCACGTGTATTAGATGAAGATAATCTACGCGATGAAACATATGGTGATATATGACGTGGATTTGATGATGGACGTTCTAAAATGAAATATATTTATCTATGTTTTTTGATATTCTATATCATTTCAAACCTTTGATACGAACTGATCGACGATGTGATTTAATTGGTTTATCACCATAGTATAGTCCTTTTGGCATTTCATATTGTTGTGATATACTCGTATCAGAATAAGAATCACGTCGTAATGATACACCATCAACAATCCATGGACTTTGATTCTTAGTATGTTTTCTTTTCTGTTTTACAAAACCTTGATCTCTTGTTGGATATAAATCAATAATCATTGAACTGTCATTCGAAGAGACATCGGATGGTGGTGAATAACGAGACGATCGATAATCTTCATGTCTTTCTTGTCGATGTTTCTCCGGCATGTGAATTTCATATGTTACTCGAGCTTTATGTAATTTTGGTGACTAATAGAAAAATAGTTAGATCACAAGAAATACTTTGTTTTAATTAAAGGACCTATACATTTTTTTCTTTGAAAAACATTACAAAAACAAACTGTATTTGAAGGAACTTAATTTTGTAAAACCTGCCATATCATTGAGAGAAAAGATTTCGAGAAAGGAAAAGTCTGATTTCTTTTTGTTTTTGGAAATATAGTTGGATATCCTCATGGTAGTTCTTAGCTTTGAAATAAGACCTTTAATTGAGACAGCTGATGAATACCAATGACAATTTTCAATCTTTCTTATATGATGATCTATTTCTCTCTCAAAGAAGTCTAAGAGGTCGGGAGAACTATTTGCCTGCTTCTCTCTGCCCTCATTAGAAATTTTTTCTCTTAAATATTGCCGGCTTGGCATATTCCGATTAGTCCATTCGCTTTAGTAACATCCATCAGATATTCAAAAATAGTTTTATTTAACAATAACAAAATACAAAACAAGAACCTTTGAAGAAACATTTTATAGACAAAAGAAGCACAAAAATTGTAGTTTCAAAAAATAATTTATTTTGGGTTTGGTAGGCTTTTAGAACTTTTGATTTTTCACCAGCTAAATGATCTAGCATCGCCCTGATTATTATAGTACGGAGAGAGCAGACCTTAGTACATTTTTAGAAATAAAATTGAAAAGTAGAAAAAAGAATTGTTTGACTTTAGAAAGGAGTGAGGGATCCCTTTAAATTACCACTTCTAATTCTGTTGCTGATGAACGTTCTTCATATGTTGGTCGAGTACGATATGTTTGATATGGTGGTAAATGTTGAGATAAAGAATAATGATGAATATGGTATTGTGCTGGTGGAGGTGGATCATTTAGCTCAGATTGAGCGAGTGTATGACATAGTTCGTCGTTAATTTGTCGCAATTTTGCTAACGTTGGTGGTGTGGAAGTTGAAGAAGAAAGAGGAGAATATGTTGGATATTGATAAATTATACTAGATGATGTTGGTGATATTGAACGATTGGAAGGTAAAAGAAAATCATCATATTCATTAGTATTTGGATTCATTTGATATAAATCAAAATTAAATTTAGGTCCATGTTCAGGTAGAGCTCGCGGTCTAGGAGGAGGAGATGTAGTACGACGAAATAATGGTGATGAAGGTCGTACTGTACACGTCGAATAAGTTACTGAAGATAATGGAACATATGTAGGAGGTGTAGGAACAACATTTAACGGTGCATTGTAAACAGAATCGAAATTAGAATTGCTTTGAACGTATTGAATTGTTCGTTCCATCTTTTAATAAAAATATTAATCTATAAATATGCTTAAAGGTTAACAAATCGGTTTTTGTTTCAATCAAATCTGTCATATGACGCATATTGCAGTCAACTGTGTTACCATAGAAACATGATACAATCGTTATTACTATTCAAAATTCGAAGAAAAAAGTATTTCCTAGTAATTTAATTGTATAATAATAATATTCTAAAGTAAACTATATGTATAAAAACTTTATTATAAATAAACCGTCATACGCTGTCATCTGTTGAAACTACTATAGGTTTAATTTTACTATATTGATAGAACTATGAATAGGCGCGTAAAAAAAGATATTTTAAACCTCTTATAAATAAAATGGCTGATCATAACACAAGAAAATATATGGATAATTTGAATAATAAGAAACTATCTCCTTCATCAGCAATTAATCAAGTTACTGTTTCATCTCGTCATCCGAGTATGCGATCAACAAGTGCTTCTAATTCTTCAAAATCTCGTGTTCATCAACATTCATCTATTCAAATGGAACCTGGTATTCAAGCTTTATTAGCTGCCGAAGGTCAAGCTGCTGAGATGATTGCCCGAGCACGTACAAATCGAAATAAATTAATGCGACAATGTAATCGAGAGAGTCATATTGAAATAGAAACATTTCGACGAGAACGTGAAACACAATATAAAAGAAAATTATATGAAGCAACACAACTCGAACAATTTCAAGAAAAACTTGATTTCGAAAGATTTCATTTATTAAAGCAAATAAAAGAGAATGTCAAAAAAGAACAAAAATCACTTCTAAAATATATTATTCATTGTATTGTTGATCAAATTCCTGTTAAACCTCATCCAAATGCAAAACATATATTAAATTATAGACTATGAATGATTCTATTGACGGTGAGAAATTGTTTTGTTTTCTTTCCATTTCTTTTTTTTATTCTAAATAATAGATAGTAAACAAATATACGCTGAACTATGACAAAACACAAGCAAAAAGAAGGACAATATAGGTGAATAATCAATAAATAATTAACTGGCTGGTGTTGACGGTGTATTTTTATCGTTAACATCTGATAATTTCGATCGAATACCAATTTTTTTCAATTCATCAACAAGTTCACCTGATTGATGCATACCAAGTAAAATATCGCAACCACCAATAAATTCTCCATCAAAATAAACTTGAGGAAATGTTGGCCAATTACTAAATTAATTTATAGAAATATTTAAAAGCAAATATATATATTTATTTTTACCTATAATTTTTCATTGTTGTTCGAAGTTGTTCATCTTCTAATATATTTTTCGATTTGAAATCACATCCATGTAAATTAAGAATTTGAAGAACAGCATTTGAAAAACCGCAACCTAAATTTTTTAAAATTATTCAAAAAAAAACATTTTTTTTTTCTTATACGAGGAGCGCCTGGTTCGCCTTTAATAAATATAGCGATTTTATTTGATTTAACAAAATCATCGATTTTCTTTTTAAATTGTGGGTCAACTGTTGATGGTGATTCAGTAGTAGTTTTATTGTCCGATGGTGATAATGTTGTTGAAGTAAAACGAGTCGAAATAAGATTCAATGGACGTACTGAAGAACATTGTTGAATGACTCGACGAAATAAAAATGATGAACTCATCTACAAAAATACATAATATTTATTTTCTTTAATTAAAATTCATTTTCTATTTTTTATTTAAGAAAAAAATTTTCTTTTAATTATAATGATTTCAAAACGTTTCTTTTTTTTTCTAATTTAAATCACAATAGTTGATAGAAACATACTTGAAATAATATATGAATATAAATCAATGAATATTCAATGATTTTTCTATTGACATTTTAATTAAAAAACGAATGCTAATAAAAACAAAGGCATCAATTTCTTTTTCTTTCCATTTTGAAGAAAAATAATAATAATAACAGCAACATACAAACAAAAAAAGAACTTCTCCCGTATATATATATATATATTCATTTGATTGGAATTATTTACGTCAAATTTAAAATAAATCCATTCGTATACAATAATGTTATCAAATCCAACAACATCAAATTTAGCTGAAGCATTATTAAATGTAAGAAAAATCGAAAAAAATTTTATCAATCGAGAATTTAAATATATTGATCGAGATCGAAATAAAATTCGTGCACATGTTGATCGACATAAAGAAACATTTTTACAACTAACACGTAAACGACATGAAACATGGTATCGACATGATAAACATTTTCGTGAAGGTCTACGAAAGGAGAAAGAATATCATGAAAAACGTAAAGCACATGAAAGACAAAGATTATCATTTGCATTAGATCCAAATTATATGTCACAAGATCATACACCATTTCAACCAAGAAATATTACTGATGATTCAATTTTACCACCGATTGTAACAACAATAAAAAGTAAAACATCAACAACAACAACTGAACCAATGACAAAAATTGAACGATATACTTATCAAGTTTTACGAGCTTCACAAAAATTACTTGATGAATCGGCTGCACGACCAAGATATAAATTTGTATTTGAACAACCTTCATCATCATCATTTAAAGATAAAAATCCTCAATCAGCAGCATTACCAGTAATATCAATTTCCAATTCAGTTCAAAATCGAACAAGTTATGTACCAATGAGATCATCTTCTGATTGTGAAGAATATGATCAATTAATAAATGAATCATTACAACGTGAAACATTTAGTGAGTTTGTTGATCATTTTGTTAAATTTCGTCCTGAATTTCGTGAACAATTTGCTTCTGTTCATGAAGAAAATAAACGACAAAAAATAGTCGAACAATTAAGAAGACTTAATCGAATATGTGGAAAAACAAAAGATGAACGTTACCATAATTTACTTGATAGTCTTACTGATGTTCATTCTGAATAGAAAAAAAACAAATATTATTCATTTTAAAATAAAAACAAAGAAGTAATATTATATATATATGTATATCGAAAGAGTCGTGTGTTTTGTTTTCCTGTTTTACAAAAGAAAAGATTAAGCACAAAATCCGTACATATGGATCATAATTCAAATGAGTAAATAACAATACAATTATTTTTTGTACAGTTAATGTGTTAATCGAAAGGTAACAAAGGCAAGATTAGGAATAAAAAAAATATAGTTCCGATCTGAATGTGTATGGACATATATCTATTATTTAAGCTCTGCTAACATTCGTTCAATTTCAGCATCTTCTTGATTAGCTTGTCGTCGATTAGTTGCAGCATTAACTGTTGATCCTGGTACACGTGGAGCACGTGACATCTAAATTAAAATCAAATTAAAAATAATTTCTAGAAAATATCTTAATCAAACTTGTTCATTTAATGAAATTCCTATTTCACCAAGAACTTGATTAACAATAGCATCTTCTTCTTCTGAATCACCATCTTGACCTAAAGCTGCTTCAAGTGTTTCACCAACTAAAAATATATTTTTTTGATTAAGATATGAATCATCAAATTTTTCATACATACTCATTTCATCTGTAATACCCAATTTCATATGTTCTTGAGTAAATTGTTGAGTAACTTTTGCCATTTGCACAGGATCCATAAGTTTATTCATTTTGGCCATTGTTTTTCCAGTTGACTAAAATCACAGATTTTTATTTACAAAAAAAAAAGAAACAATTATTTATTCACCTCCATTGCAGTAGCCATGCGCATATTAGATGCCATTATAGTATTTTGTGAAGCTAAACCTTGAATATGACCAGATGCTTGCAATGAGTGGTCTTTCTGATTACGAAGTTTCACAAGTTGTTTAGCTAGAATTTCGACGGCCTAGAAAAAATATAAAAACATAAATAATCTGATAGCAAAAAGATATACTTTGTTTTACATACTTTTTTATTACCAGTCGATGCATTCTTTCGAATTTCATTAACCTATTATGAATAAAATAAATATGTATTTATGGAAAATTATTTCTTTTACTAATTTCTGTTCTTCAGCTTCAAGTTTATGTCGATCACGTCCTAATTCTCGATCAGTTTTTTTTAATTCACGATTAGAAGCTTTTGTTTGTTCTTAAAATTATTTATCACGAATACAACAAAAAGTAAATATCTAAATTATTATTTACCTTGAACAGTTGGTTTTTTACCGAACATGATAATAATTTTAAAAAAAAAGAAATCTAGAAAAAAACGAAAGTTGTTTTTTTAAATTAATTATAAATTTATTTTCGTTAAAAGAAAAAATCGAAAACACCATTAATACAAGAACCAGATGTATATTCATGTTTTGTATGACCAGCAGATGCTTCACGACAAATCGGAGATTTTGACAATTGAATTACTTCTCCCATTGGCTTATCACTAGCAATAAAATGAATAGCATTTAACTTCAAGAAATCTTTTATTTCATCTGTATCGGATACACTTATTGAATGAATAGAATCAATAAAAGCTATTTTAGCTAATTTAGATAAAACTAAATCTTGACGCTGACGTAATAAATGCATGAGATTATCACCACCAGCTGAATGAGCAACAATATAGAATTTTTTTGCTGGAGAAAATTTTGAGATTATATTATCATATGCATAGAGAATATGTTCATAACTTGTAGATAGATTAGGAATTGGTTTTGATGATGAATGAGGAAGTGGTTTAGATGATAAATAAAAAGGAAGAAGATCTTCGTTGTGATTTTCCAAAATATCTTCTTCTTCATCAATATAACTTGTTTGATTTGGATTGAGAATTATCACAGATAAATTGTGTTCTTTAGCTTTTGACATATATGAGAACATAGCTAAGAAATTAATATAATTAAATATTGTCGAAATTTCATATTACAGCATTAATTATCATGCAAATAGCGAATGAAAGCAATTTATCAAAAAGTATTTAGACCATATAACTAAATGTATGTTTATCATCTTAATGTAATCATTGCTTTTCATGGACAATACCGTCAGCAACAAGCCATGCATCTAATCGAAATAATTCTAAAATTTTAGCAATGGGATTACAACATCTATGATACATTATAGAAGACTGCAATCTATTAACTGCGTTTCTATCAATATGAAACTTTGTTCATTTACAACACTAAGATCTATCATAATCTAAATTAATCAATACCTCCAATATCAAGTGATTCATTAATACAACATGAACGTGACCATTGACCAGCACGTACAACACCACAACCTTGAATTAATATCAAACATCCATTAGTATTTGTTCGAAAATCATTTGAAATAAATATATTAACTTTTTGTCGATTTTGATTATTATCATTAATTGGTAACCAAATTTCTTCATAATTCCATGGATTACTTTTAATTAATGTTTGAATATAAATTTCAATAGCTTTTCCAAGTAAATCATAATGACGTTGTGTAAGAAAAATAAATTTTTTATTTGTTATACAATGACGTAATTGATTGAATTCGTTATAATAATAATTAAATTCTTGAATTGATTGTGGTTGTTTGGATGTTTTTGGTATAGTTAATAGAATATTATTAAGATCGGATTGAAGATTTTGTGGAAGATCGTTATATTGAAATTTTTCATTACAAATATAACAAGGTATTTTATTACTTAATAATAAAGCTATTTTACCATTATTAATAATCGATGATATTATATTAATACAACATGATTCACATAAACAATGTTTATCACTAGTACAACAATGATATGGAATAGATGATGTAGTCATACAGATTGCACAATTCATCTAGAATTTAAAAAAGAAAAGTTTACTCTTTTGTTTGTCGAAGAATAAATCATCGTAATAAAAAGAAAACAAAATGGAGAACGAAAAATGATTCATACGTATATAACGCTTTTTGAGTCAATCTGACCTACCGGTGTGTCATATCAACTTGAAGGAGATAAATGAGTGATGCATGATTTATAAAACTGAATAGATTAACATATGTAAATTCTTGAGATACGAACTAATGATATTCATTCTTTAAAAAATGATTAAACATCATATGTATATCCGATAAAGAAACGAATAAGAAAATATTAAATTTCAAATCGATTGTAACTAAACAATATATATATTGTACTATCCTATGTTAAATTTAGATTCTTGTTTAAACAGAAACTATGAATAGCTTTTTGATTATTAAAGTAAACTCACATAAATCTAAAAAACAATTAAAAAATGAAATCCTAAAATATGATCTTCTAGTAGATCTTAATAGATTCTGTTTAGTCATGTAAAGTGTCAGTTGATTAAATATTAATCAGCAGTAGACTATTGGAGAAGCCGATCAGAAAATTATTCAACTTTGAAGATAAATGAAAACAACGAAAAAGACATCTATTTAATACTTTATTCGATATACTATATGAATATTCGATATAGATATTTTCCTTTAGAGAGAAATCCTTTTTTCAAGTTTCACTTCTCCTTATAAATGGAGATATGGATGAACATTTGTACTTCAAATTGTTTCTACTTTCATCGAAAAAGGATTTCCCGTTGACTTTGTGAGGGTAAATAATTTCTCTGTGTTACGGGACATGGCCGATCCCTCATATTAATATAATATAATCGATACACACTAGCTCACTGAGATTAATAGAGTTAGTAATGTTAACGTTACTATCTTTGCAAAATCATAGATTTCAATGCATTCTGATAGATACTTAAACTTAATCCTAATCAATTAAAATCTAGTTTAACTTTTCGGTTAAATTCGTATTAACAAACCTGTAATTGAATACAACTGTTTTTTCCATTTTTATGTATGATTATTTAAGTATTCATTGATTGATCTAAACAAAGAAAAAATTTCTTTCTAATCGGCATCTCTCATCGTATCAAATGGTAGAGGCCCATTTAATGGATCATGATTATGACAATTTCAAACATCAATTCATTCGTTTAATGTCTCTCATTTATTAGTATTCTCAGATCATAGATGAATCATATTTACTTTATCATACTTACAGAATAGATGTTTTTTAGTAATTTTTAGTAATTATTTCTTTTCTTTCTGATATAATTTGAGAAATAGATATATCGATGAGACTTTAAATAGAATGATTTAGTACCTTGATTCCTTGAGAATTACTGTGACTATTCACTTTTTATAATAACAGAATGTTTCAGTATTAATAATGTTACTTCTAACAAATATTTAGTATTTCGAATAAAAAAAGATAAGACCTACTTTCATAAAAATATTTTATTAGAATACTGGCAAAGTTGAATACATTCGATGTTGTACTTGTAACCAAGTACAACGCGATGTTTAAATAATGATTGACTATATCCTACTTTTGTTATACACAGCAACAAGTACCAACTAAAGCTAGACATTCTAGTTCTGGTGTTTGTGTTAACTTATCGATAACTATTGTACAATATTGATATTCATGAGATAAACATAGATCACTTGAACCAACACATATGACAAATAAATCATTTTTCGATAACTGATAATAATTCACTAGTTTCATCTTTTAACTGTAATAATTTTGGGTCCCTAAAGCAATAGATACTAAAGTAAACTTTTATATTTTTAAATTTTACTTCTTTAAGATACCCTACTTGATTGTATACTGCTAAAAATCAAACACTTCTTGATTTTTCCCACATAATTAGTAGCTTGATTATATCCATTTGGTAAATGAAGATTATAGAAAACTAAAGAAATATGACGGACCTTGTGTGACACAAAGGTCGTAGAACATTCTTTTTCTAGAATGAATAATATGATTAGGTTAATTTATGATATGTCGATATTCTACCTTTACTGTTGATAACGAAAAGAGTCATCATGTATGAATCATATTCTATGACACATCCTGAGAGGCTATATATGTTAAACCAATCGAATGTTTTTCAAATGATTTTCATATGAATATTAGTAGAAATTTATTCTATAAAAATAAAACTAGATTTAAATAAAATTTAACCCGATACAAATTTAGAAAATGTAATTATTAAATGAGAAAAGCATATGTTGAAGTGACATCTGTTGAGAGTATTGAAATGGAAGATTTATACAAAACTTTTTATGCAAAAATGGATCATTTAACAAATATATAAAACTTAGCGATATATAAATCATTTTTTACAATTGAATTATTTTATATATTCTCACAATCAATTTTCATATGATCCTAAACTTTCTTGTTCTTGATAAGTTTAGCTATTCCATTAAAGACGAACAATGCTAATTATCCTTCTTTGATAATTTTCATAATAGATTCAGGATTTTTAGTAAGAACACAAAGGAATAGTTTATTTCTCAAAAGAAATCAGTGATGCTCAAAGAAACGTTTTTGAAGTTTATTAATAGCTATACTATTATCTGAATTCTTATCCGTAAATATTAGTAAAAATTACATAAACAAATCCAAATATATTAATAGAAATATTTTATAATCATCTAATTGTTCATTTGACATTGAGCTTTCACAAATCGATTAAATAATTGATAAAAAACGAGATCGTGCGACGTTTTCAATTTGCACCAAAATAAAATCAATGATATTTTTTTCATGATAATCTCATTCACACCTTTATTTTTTCTATTAGTGATACATGCATGTGAATCGATGTTCGAACTTTTCTTTCCGAAAAAGAAAAAAAGAAATTCAACATTCTGATTAATTGAATATTGGATGGTTAAGTTTGATATCATTTGAATATGATTAATTACATTTTGTTAAATATCATTGTACATTTTTTATTATCAAAACATGTAAAACAACAGTTAAAAGTATATCGTACTTGATTATCATATATCGAAACAAAGAATGTTGACAATTGATAAACTACTTTTCATTTAACGAAATTTTAAAATCTATCAAGCGAAACATTTCAATAATAGTCTATTAAATGTTATATTCTTTTGTCATGATAACTGATACGATTTACCAGATATGGTGAGAGAGAAAAAAAAACGCTTTTTCTTCTTTTATACATAAAATGATATGATTAGACACTTTATTAAGATTTCAATTGTCAAAAATGTTCATAAATAATTCTCTTGTAACTCAATCTTTCTATCAAATAGAAAATATTGAAAAAAGAAAAACTAAGAAAAGAAAGACAGACAGCCAGACATGTTCTACTATTACCCACCGGAGCACGCAATGACCATCAGGCAACAATATTGTAACAAGCCGACTCGATTGAAACACAACATGAAAGATCACGCATGATCTAATAAAGAAAAAGGAGTTGAGAGAGAAGAAAAAAAGAAGAAGAAAAATCTATAGAATAAACTCGAGAACTTACTTTTTTCTTTTTTTCTCTCTACCGCTCTCATTCCTATATATATTGGTTGTTTTATATTTCTTACATGTATTCATATAATAAATACATATGTTTCAATTGTTTATATAAATAATTATTCGAGTAAGTCTAATCTATATATTTCGACAATTTCCTTTTCTGCTTTTTTTTCTTTTTGCTGCTTATCTGAATTATTAGTCCAATCATATTATTTTGTTTTGATTTAAAATGAATAACTAACTCATTAAGAAGAATATATTTTCTTTATACTTATGTTTCAATTGAAAGAAAGAGAAAAAGAAAAGAAAATACTATCAGAAGGTATTATTCGATAAGCCTTTTGCACGATTACATTTCTTTCTCGTTCCGGAACACATCAACCTTGAAATTATACCTAATTTTATTCTCTTATTAGACCCTAGAGAAGAAAACGCACACATATACTAATCTTCTTTTCTTTTTCCTTTTCTTTTCTTTTCTTCTTAGTTGAGAGAATTTGATTAAAATATGATTGGTGAATATTTATTTGACACAATTGACCAATGAAAAAAATGATATGAAGTTTTTTTTTCTCATTGAACATCGCCTGACATACATCTAACCCGGTAGTTAATCACAGCGAGCTTCAACAACAACAACAGAAATCAAGCTTCATATTCTTTCTCTCCCTCTCTCTTTCACTCTCTATCTTCTTCCGTTTTCTAATTAGTCGAGAAAAAAAAGAGAGAGAAAGTAAAAAAAAGAAGAAAAAAGAAAACTTTCTCTCTATCCCTTTCTCACTATCGCATCAGGACTAAGTTTTCGCTTTGCATGATCTCTATCATCGATCGTGTGTCTACAAGTTGAAGTTATTGGTGTGTGTGTGTGTGTATGCTTCGTGCCGAAATTGAAACAAGCCGCATAGTCTCGCGTCGATCTTAATTATTATTCCTTGTGTGACACACGCACTTTTTTCCCGTTCCGACTTCAACTTTTGAATGCGCCACTCCAGCAAGTAGTTCTGATCAGGCAACAATAAATATCTATACACATATATATATATACACATGTATGCAACCAAGCGTCGTCGCAGAAATACAAAAAAGTAAGTTAAACACGATACAAAACAATATACACGAGATCAATTGATGAATATACACGCAATAAGATAGTCTTTTAAAAACTAAACAATGAAAATTTATTAGCTTCCGGAAATATCTCAACTAAATTTTGCAAATTTTTTTTTCTCCTCAAATTTTATCTTAATCTTAAAAAGAAGAATTATATTTTTTATAATAAATAATTGTATTTTTATCTAGTTATAAAAGTCCATTAAAAGAAAATCAAAAAACAAATCCAAGTAAACGTCATCGGGAACGTTTAAATGGTGAATTAGAAAATCTCGCATCATTATTACCATTTGAATCATCAATACTAACCAAACTTGATAAATTATCCATCTTACGATTGGCTGTTAGTTATTTACGTGTTAAATCTTATTTTCAAGGTAAATATTTCGTGAGAAAAAAAACAGTTATCCTACTGATATGATAAGTCTCAATCTGAATAGAATTTCTATTAACAGAAAATTTCACGCTCTATGACTTGATAATCACGAGAGAAATGACGTAAAAAAAATCGTCTATATCCCTCGAGGCAAAAAAAGTAACTCTGTTAATTGAGTGTGAGTATTTTTTTTTCTTCTTCGTTTTTTTTGTTTATGAGTTTCCGAGGATCAAAAACTAACACTCTATTTGTCTCCAATTTTATTTGATGTCTAAGTAATGACAGTGTTTATATTTGAAGATTGACTGACTAACTGACTTTTTATCGTTAGTGATCATCTCGCGTGTCATGAGAAGAGAGAAAAAAAGAACGCGGACTAGTCTTTTACTCTGAGAATAGAGTCAAGATCAATTATGGGTGGAGATTCGGAATAGATAATTATCTTGACTTTCATTTTTATTTCATTCATCTTAGCAACATTTAAAAATCGTCAACATTTACAAAGTCAACAACAGCAATATGAAGCAACCACATCATCAACAACAAGTTCATCAACATCGTTGGGACTTTGTCAAGAGATCTATTATCATGATCCAACATTCAGTGAAGGAGAATCTATTTTAGAAGTATTAAATATAATTATTTATTTATAAATGGATACTATCATTCTTTCTTTCTTTCTTTCTAGGCTTTACAAGGTTTTATTGTTATTGTTAGTTGTGATGGAGAATTATTTTTTGCATCAAGAACTGTTGAACAATATCTTGGTTTTCATCAAGTATATATCATTTGATAGAGCTTTTTTTTTCCTTTTTGTCCCTGATGACTATTAGATCATCAATTAAAAAAATTAGATGAACAGTTTGTTATGATCACGCTATGATTTATCTCAATAGAATAAATCAATTCTGTTCTATGTCAAAAGACTAATGAAATTATTTTTCTATATTTTTAGTCAGATATACTTCATCAAAGTGCATATGAATTAATACATTCAGAAGATCGAGATGAATTTAAAAGACATTTACAATGGAATGAAAAACTTACTAATGAACATCAAAATTTATCATTAGAACAAATATTAACTAATTCAGGTTCATATTTATTTAATTATTTAAAAATAGAATATTTCTATGTTTTATTTTTGGTTTTATAGAACATACTCATCTATTAGAAAGAACATTTACTGTACGATTTCGTTGTTTACTTGATAATACATCTGGTTTTGTGGTAAGAATTTCAAGAGAGACAAAAAAAGAAAATATATATAAATAAAAATTCTCGTATCTGTAGACATTAGAAATAGATGGAAGAATTGGAATTTTATATGGACAAAAACCATCACATGCATTAGATGATCATCGTTCATTAGCATTATTCGGTATAGCATGTCCATTTGGACCACCATCACTATTTGAAATTCCACAACGTGAAAGTTTATTTAAGTCAAAATATCGTTTAACATTAGAACCTGTATCTCTCGATCCAAGGTATTTAATTTCGTATACTAAAACTTTTACAGATTTATATATGTTTATTTTGTTTTTTAAGAGGGAAATTAATTCTTAATTATACCGATCATGATTTGACACAAATCGGCAGTGGATATAATTGGATACATTCAGATGATTTAAAATATTATTCAACAGCTCATAAAGAATGTAAGAAAAAAAAATCTATCGTATATTTATATATATTTTTTTTTCTTGTATAGTATTAAAAACCGGTACATCAGGTCTTGTATGTTATCGTATTCAGACAAAAGATGGTCGTTGGCAATGGTTACAATCTTCAATGAGAATAATTTATAAGAGTAATAAACCTGATTTTGTCATCGCCAATCATCGACCATTAACGTAAGAGAAAAGAAGAAGGAGAAGAAAATTTCATTTTATTTTTAAAATTCCGGAAGAAAGGGAAAAAGCTTCCGCTTTGAATATTTAGTAAAGAAATGGGCGTTGTTAAAAGATAAAACGGATGGAAAAAGACACATGGCTTTTATCGTGTATAAGAAAAAAATTGAAACGTCCATCTGCTTTTTGTTTTTTAGTGATGATGAAGGTGAAGAATTATTTTATAAACGTGGTACAGAATTTAAATTACCATATCCATGTTTATATGATTTTGATACAAATTTTAATTCAAATATAAATGATGATGAAAATTATTCTTTAAAACATCATTCAACATTAATTAATAAAAATTCAAATACAAATTTATCAATATCAACAACAAATACAACTCGTCCAACGAAAAAAGTATCTAAAACAACAATTAAACAACAAACAATTAATCCATTTACATCGAATTCATCATCAACATCATCATCATCATTTGATCCATATTATAATACATATCCATCAGCATATGTTTCATCTTATCCAACTGATGTCACAACAGCTAGTTTTATTGAAGCAGCAACAAATAATTATACAACCAATCCAACTAATACAAATGATTTGCTATTAGTTAATGAAACAAATCCATATAGTGGAACTTATGCAAATTATTATACTGCTTTACAACAACAATATCACAATAGTTTAACACCATATCATGCTGTTTATTATCAAGATACAAATAATCGTTATTATACTAATCATCGGACATCACCATCAACAATAAATGAACAAAATTATCATCAACATCATCATCAACAACAACAACAACATCAAACACATGAAAATTATTTAATTGATACAAATAATTCCAATAATCCATATTCATATTATTTATATAATAAAAATCCTCCAACAACAAGTCATGGACATGATTCAAATAATAACCTCTCTTTATTTGATGTTTCTTTACCAACACCTATTCATCATTCTGTTATAAAACATTCGACTAAAAGATAGTCGAAATCAATTTCCTCTTTTTTTTTCTTTTTTTTTTGTCTTCTTCCTCATTTATATGTATGTCTATATGTGTTTCAATGATCTAATATACATTCACCTTTCAACCATTCAAGCGTATATTCTTTCTAATCTGATTATAAAATGACGATGATGTTTTGTTCAAGCCAGCTGCTCATACAATTCAACGTTTAGTTGTTCACCTGCATAACACATATTTAGTTCAGTATTGTTGATGAGTATTTTAAAAGACAGGTGGTTGACATGCCGCTTATCATTTTTCTTTCTTTTCTTTTTTCTTCTTCTGTTGACGATCGATCGATCGATCGATGAACAATTGCTCTTCAAACTAATCTGTCAATCATATTCTGGTCAACTTCAAGTCAACTTTATCTTACTTTTATTCGATATTTTTTTAATAATGCCAGACGTACTAATTGATAAAATACATTAGTCGCGTGTTCATTTGTAATCAGAAGAAGAATAAAAAAAAAAACTAGAACAATGACAGACTGTCAAAGTAAAACTTTTGCTTACGAATAGAGAATAAAATAAAATCGAATGTGTGCGTGATGAATAGATGTAATATACCTTGGGAATCAAATGATGCTCTTTCTCATTTTCTTATTCTTTATTTTAACCTCCTGCTGACTATTGACACTCTAATTGTGTGACGTAATTATGACTCGAATGTGGGTGTTGTCGTCAATTTATCTCTAGCACCTAATAGAATGACTTACTCACTTGGGCGGGATCAGCAAATATGTGAATGTGTAAAAATCTTTTCCATTTGCACAAATGGAATAAATCACTTTTACCTTTTCTTTGTTATTCATAAAAGATTGGATTTTATTCTTTTCCAAGAAGAAAAAAGATCAACTGATATAAATATATATATATTTCTAACATGCAATTTATCCATCTGGATAGTGTTGATAAGTGAACATGTGCGTAAAATGGTGAGATCTAATTTTCGCTTTTTCGTCATTACTATATATATATATATTGAAATTGTCTGTTCGATGAGGTGTCATCGATTGCTAGCACATATTTTAGTTTTACTTTTGGTGATCAGTTCATTGTTGTTGTTAGCACATTTGTTGAACTTACCGACTAAAATTATTCTATAGATGTTTGAACTCAATTCTGACCGATTTGATTGCCTTAGGCCAAGGGACGTCTGCTAATCGGGTTGGATATTTCTTTTTATTTTATGAATGCTTGTTTGAGGACACGTAATGTCTCTTTACGTTTTTCTTGTCTTTTTCTATATATATGTGCGTGTTGTTCAACCGATTAAATGATGGTTGAATTCTAGTAGTCATTGATAAGCATATTATTTCGGTTCATTAGAGCAAGCATGTACATACACATCTATATATATATATATATATTTATGTGGTCAGCAGGTGATCCGTACCTGGATGTTTGGTGAATGAGCAATGTTGAAATTAGAGGAAGATCGAACGAAAAAGATAAAAGCTTATAGGTATAGCAGATGTGATATTCGGTTGAGATGAATAGACAATATGTTAATGAGTTTTTTATGTAATTTCAAAAAACAAAGACAATTGGAAAAAAAATTCTAAGATGTACGATAGGGAAATTAAATATAAAGAATTAGAATATCATTTACTAGAAGAATTATAATAACTTATATTTGATCTTTAATATGTTTCGTATTATAATTAATAAAACAATTATTCTTGGGTAGATTTAATAGATAATCATAAAAATCATTGCATTAGTTTTTTAATTATAGATATTTACTTTTTCGAATTTTTATTTTGATGGATTATTGAAAACAATTATTCCTCTATTTACAGTGATCGATAGATCTCCTCAGTATTTTATGATGGATTAGTATATGAAGTTAGTAGTCTTGAAAAAAAACTCATATATAATAATGTCTCTAGAGTGAAGCGGCTTCGTTAAACTATAATAGATTCAGTGTGTCTCTGTTCGGACAATGATCGACGAGTTTCGATCATTTTATTGATAATCATTGTTGAAAAATTTTTATCCGATTTTCTTTTTATATATTCAAATTTATATGATAAAAATAGTAACATCTGTCATTCTATGTTATAATCATTTAATAAATAAATCTATTTTAAATTTTTTTCTTAATATTAAATAAGATCATGTCAACATGCAAACTGTGAATATATTCAATCAAACTACTAATTAATATTCATTTGATAAGATCTAATCTATTCACAATCGATAATTGTATAGTAAATATATATACTTGAATAAAAATAATGTTCAAATGAAAGATGATTTTTTGACAAATGATTGAGTTTGATATGAAGTACATCAATAAAAAAGACGACGAAGACTTACTATTGACTTCTCTCGTGTAATAAGATAAATAAAAATCACTTAATAGATTTTATCATAGACAAAAAAACAAGACTATAAGAATATATATTCGAAAAATGATTAGATCACGTCAAATTATATCAAAGAATTCTAAACGATATTGATTAATTCATCATTTTTAAAGTAAATAACAGAGTCAACTGAACAAATTCAAAGAAGATCTTAAAATTATTCTCTTTCTCGTAGAGAAGAGTCCGGTAAACATAAATTGCTTGTTGTGTCCGCAGGGTTAAAAAGACATCGAAGGTCAATTTTTCAGAAAAGACATCTCTAGAAGTATTTCGATGCAGGGACTTCGAATCTGATGTTAGTTTTTTCAAAATTCTTTACAAAAAAAGTTTTTTGATGTAAAATTTGACGCAACGTTTTTTGAGGTCGCGAATCACAAATCTGATGTTAGTGTTTGCAAGTTATATAAGCAAAAGGTCCCGTAGCATTGTAGAACACCATTTCTACGAGAAAGAGCTAAGCGAGTCCTTAGACGAGCGTTACTTGTTTATATTGTACATCGATAAAAGTTTTGTTTTTTTGCAAAATAATTAAACTATTATATATACAACATCCGTTGCTACGGAATTATTTATAACCATAAATTAACGTATATTTATAGACCATGAAATATTTTAATCCTCTTTACGTTACTTTTAATTTCTTAACCGACAATAACAAAAGCTAAGGTAAAACATTTCAACGTAGTTAAAATTTCTTTTAAAGTCATACGTCATAACCTAACAGAATTTCTTTTTTATTCTTCTTGAAAAAGATACTTCAAATTCCTTTTTTTTGCATTAACATCATTTATATAAAGTACTTCAGTGATCTTTTTTCTGTCAAAAATGTTCTACAAAGAACCCTATTGTAATGAAAGAACTATAATTAGAAATTTCGTTTTCTTTCATCATATAGAAAAAAAAGATTGATGACATCCGATGTTTATCATATAAAAGAAACTTTGATCTTTACAAAATTTATTATTTTTACTTTATTAATTAACAATTAATTAAAAAGAATTGATCATGATAATATATCAAATATATATATATAGAAAAACTAGAAACTATACTAAATTATATTTTCGAATTTAACACACCGAGATCTGTAGAAATATGATGATATAGTTATGTTGTTAATAACAAGTCTTTTTATAGCACATTTGTGAACAACATTCGGCATTATTTGAACACCATGTACCTGGACAATAACAACCAAAACCAACGCCAATAAATGGACTTATTTTTGGATCACATTGAAAATGTGTCCAAACAGTTCCGGGCATTGATAATGCACTACCTTGTTGTTGATGTGAATGAAATCGAGTATTTTTTTCCATTTTCTTATGAAAAAATAATATTGCTGCATCAGTTGATGATGGAATTCGAAAAAGAATAATTATCAAAACAAATATAGGAAACATATTTTGTTTTGTTTCTGCTAATAATAATTTAATAGGATAAATATATATTCTGATATACAACTTGTAATAACGATGAGTAGAATGACGATGATCTAGTTGAGATATGAGAGAAAAAAGAGCAGAAAAAAAACAGAGAAAGAAGAAAAGAAGAAGTGCTGAATATAGGATAAAACTAAAAGGGAAATGAGAAAGAACGTGTGCTAATAGCAATTAAAACTGATGAATGGGAGTTATTATTCCATTAAATCAATTGATGTTTTCATGTGCGTAATTAACATTATATTAAGTATATTCTATGAAATAAGAAGTAAATAAAAATTGCATAAGAAAATATTTTATTAGTTAAGAAAATTTTCTTTTTTTATTTAAAATAAAAATTAATCAAATAATATTTGTTTTTTTTATTTATTGTCTTCATATTTGCTCACATATATTAAATATAGAAGTCAATCATTAGGATTCCTTTATATAAATATATTTTTTTTCTGCTGCTGCTTATACGATTGTTTGAAGAATCTAAGTATTAAAAAAAATCGATGGAGATGTCAAGACAAAAGGAAAGAAAAAGAAATATGTTGTTGAATTGTTCCTTGCCGAGTATGTTTTAGATTGATGTGTGCCGCAATTTCTTCCGTTCCGTTCGTTTATTTGCATGCAATATTAACAAACCTTTTACATACTTTCTCCGATTACAGTACTTCTATTGTTATACCATTGTATAGTTAGGGATGCTTACATCAAGACGAAATAATACTAATACAACTCGTTTACCATCAATATTACCTAATTTAGGTTAGTCAACTTTTCCTTTTATCATTAATTATTATTAGCTAATAATATAAACTGAAAGATGACTCATTCGTGCATAAGGAAGGTTTTCTTCTAGTTGTTGTATTCAAATAAACAGAGAATTAACATATCTGCACTGACGCGAAACAGCAGTTGACTTAGTAAATTACAAAACAGATACAGAAAAATTTTAATTTATCTATTATGACAAGAATAAAGTACATTTTTTGTTGTAAATTAATTCCATATTTTGAACTATATATGACATGAAAGCAATTATTTAATACATTTGTTACTAGGTGATACTTCTTCACGACAACAACAACAACAAATATCGCATCGTCCAATATCAAATACTAGTATTCAATCAATAGATAATGCTTATTCTCTTGAACATTTATTTACAGCATTACATCGTCGAATACGTCGTACAGTCCAAACTTATAAAGTATCATTATTTCATGAAGCTTTAAAAATATGTGCACGTGTATTTCAATCATATGCAAGCTATAATTTAAATACAATCGATGAATTTGCTCGTCGTCTTGGTAAAACTCCGCGTGATAATAAAAAAGTATTAATATTAATTGATCAATTTCGTTCTCAATTATCTGAACTTCGTCATTGTCATTCAACATTTGAAGCTGAATTATTGGTTACAACATTAGTTATTGATTTTCATGAAAATGATCTTGAACAACAAATTAATTTATCATCATCAAATGGAAAATTTTCTCCACGAAGTCGTTTATCAAAATTTCTTAATAAACATATTAAACAAGCAATTGAACTTAAATCACAATTAAGACAAGCAAATGAACATTTACAAATTTTACTTTATGATGAATTCAATGCTAATACATCAGATTTATGGGAAGAAAGTGAAAAATATATATCACCATCGATACCATTTCACGATCATCATATGACATATATACTTCGTCTTATACCTGATATTGCATTTAAATTTACATATGCTTTACAATTATGTACAAAATTATTTGAACTTGAAACAGTAATGCTTGAAAGTTATCCACAAATAAATAATAATAAAAATGCATCAGAAACAACACCTGTTTCAATGATGACATTCACTCCTCGTTCGGATTATAATCAAAAACAAAATCAACCACAAGCAATAATTCAACAAGATAATTATCAATATATGAAATCGAATAGAGAAATTCCTAGAACATCTGCATTTTTCTCAACTGATATAACCACTGTTCCATCAAATAATAAATTACCTGATATAATCGAAAGCCCTGCGTAAATACAATAAAATAAAATTTTATTTATTTATTTATTCACATTTTTTTTTGTTTTAGATCTGCACGAAATTATATACAACCATTAGATACAACTAATCAACATAATAATACAATACAGTCTCCGTTATATTCTTTACCAGAAACAAAACCGAATAACGATAAAAATGATGAAATAAAACTTCAGTTACTTTTAGAACAACTTGACAAACGTTTACATGATGAAAATTCATATCGTAAAAATCTTCTTAATTGTATACAACGAACAGAAAAAAAATATGAACAATTAAATCATTATTTCAAACCGAATATGTTAACATTAGTTATGTCGAATAATCCAGCTGCTGTTGAATATCAAAAAGCACTTTGTTCAAGTGATTGTCAAATTTATAAAAGTATTGAAGATGAATTAAATATTGCACTTAAAGAAACACAATATCGAATTGATTGGATTGAAATGGTTCGAACAAGAGCTCATCAATGTCTTAATCAATCATAAAATAGCATTTGACTACTCATTGTCTTTTTTTTCCAATTAAATTTTATATAAAATTAAGAATTTGTATAAAATAATCATAATATTGTATATTTCTTTACTAGCTGATGTTTACAGGCCGCGAAAGTGGGGCAGAGAGTACGTCTCTCAATAAATAGAAATTTTGGGATTTCAAGCTATCAAGATATAGAATATTATATGTTAATTTCTTAGTTCAATACACATAGAGTGACTTCTAGTGTGAAAGATATTCTCAAGTTCATGTTTATCTTTCAAGATATATATATAACAATTGAAAGTGTAGTCGCCTTCGACAGCTGATTATACGATAAAAAATATTCTCTTTCTCTCACTCGCAAAAATTGATTTTTATGTATGGAAAGTTAATGACCGATTCGAATATTTTTGAAATCAATTCAAACAACGGCTTGCACCAGTTGTAAAATGTGTTGTGCCACATGGAATTCGATGAGGTCTAGCAATTGATAGAGATCATCGAATTCTCTGTGGCACAGCACATTTTACAACTGGTGCAAGCCGTTGTTTGAATTGATTTCAACAATATTCGAATCGGTCGTTAACTTTCTTCACAGATGTTTTTCGAGATTTCTTTTTTGATACTATTCCAAAAACTGCCGTCTTCAACGGCATTCTTTTCTGAAACAAATACTGACTTAGCGAAGTCAAAAACAATTTTTACTGCACAGTACTCTTTTAAGTCATGTCTCGAAAAGACGACAATAAATGAATTTTTTTTGGAATTACTCTCCTTCTTCTTTCGTCCGCACATTTTTCATCGTGCATGTATGTATTAAAGCTTTTTAGGACACGTACGCTCCCCCCTCCCATCCCCGCATTTCTACACCCTTCGCGCAACACCTGCTAATGTTTACACACGTGACAGTTTTTTCATTAATGCAATGGATGATCAAATAAATAATTTAACAAAAAGTATTTATTTTAGAATAAAACCATATATATCATAAGTCTATATTAATACACAAACTATACCTAGAAAGTAATCAGTTTTTTTTTCAATATTTATTAATTCTGTTTGTATGAGAATTTTAAATAGAATAAAATCATATAATGAAAATTCTATCATAGTATTAATTAGTTTCGGCAAGAGTCTTTTTAAATATTGAATTAATAAATCTCTCATATTGTTTTCTCTTTTTATTTAAACAGAAATGTTCTCTTATATATTTTAAGGACAAAAAAAAAGTAGGTACATTCTATGATTATTTAGACGTAGTTAAATAGTCGTACTATAAGTATTTTTGAGTTTGTTTATAGTCTCTAAGGGCTTAGTCTCTGTTTCTTCTCGTTAACGAATGTAATTTCATTCTTTTTTTTGCATTAAGTATGTATAATATTGGAATCGAGAAATATCAACTGTAATCATAAGAAATTTTCTTCAATCATAATAACTCTAATAGTTTTGATTATGTTTCTTAGTTTTATATGATTTATTATTATGACAGAGTTCATCATTGAGTCTCAATTAATATTATTAAGTATTAAATCAATAAACTCATTGCCTGATTCCTTTTGTAGACTATGTAAATATAGAATCAGTAAAAGTTACATATATATCATCATTAATATATATTGCGCTGTTTATTTCGCTTGCACTCTTAAATAATATGTTTTCCTTGGCTGAGAATTCTATTAATACAACGTCTTGTTGTATAGCTCATGTCTCTAATTATTTTTTTATATCAAATAGGAAACAGACATGTCTACAAAATCGGATGCAAAACGGTAAATTAACAATCTAATGAACGATGATATTTTAAGGTTTATAAAAAATCAGGAATCAAGATTTTTTCCTTCCGTTGCAAAATTAATTATATATAATTATTACTATATCATCAGATTATTCTATAGTAATTTGTTATGTCACTAGGTCGTATTGAGTATTTTGTCAATATATGATATGTCACAAAAAGACATTGTTCCCATTTCTGTTCGCATTAATAATCTTGAAGTTTCAGGATACAACCCACGTAGATAATTATAAACTTTATGTACATATCTTATTTTAATAAAATATCTCGAGCACAACAGTTATCGATATAGATATTCTTTTCGGAAACATTATTTGAACTCAATCATTTAATTCATAATAAATGCATCTGCAATACGAAAATAATATTTGCTTAACGATATAAATATCCCCATTATTAGTACTACTAATTGACATATCTATCAATCGTATTTTATTTATTTATATCATGTGTTATTTCCAATTGACATTTATATGATAGGAGAAACGTATTTAAAATAGAACAAAATGTTTTTATTCTTAACAGACGTTTTTTCTCTGAAGATGAGTATGATGTCTATGAAGGACATACCCTTCAGTTCTTCTACTTATATCTATTTATTTTTCCTTGATTATGCATATCATTGTTATTCAAACAACGTGAACGTACATCGCAAAAAAAAATTTACAAATTACAAATACATAACAATTATTATTGTTTTTACGCAGGTTAGAAGTATGTGATAAGTTTATTTAATTATTTTTTATCTTATAAATTTCGCAGTCTAAGTTTCTGATATAATAGAAATGCAAACAATACTTTTACTGTTCCATGTAGAAAGCATCTCTTTAGAATGTAATGTATATGATCATACCGCTAATCACTAAATCTATCAAATAACAAAATGTCTGTCACATCCTACGCAATAGAAACAGGAAAGATCAATTTCAAGTAAAAATCGAGCATTTAGTACGAGAAAGTAATTCAATAGGGCATCAAAAAATTGTTTTAAGTTACATCATCAACTCGCGTTGCGTTTATAATTTTTACCATACTCATTTAATAGATAGATGAGACAATAATTATGATAATAACAAATTGTATTCATTATTATTCACAACTAGAAAATTTTAACTAAGTTCATTTTTTTTATAATAGCGAAGAAATATTCTATGATAAATTCATTTATTTTAAGAATTTATGAAGTAAATACTAGTTTTTACTGTAAAAATAAACAAATCTTTCTTTTGTATAATTAATTTAAATACACGACAAAAATTACAACAGCAGAAAAATGAAACGATATAGAAAATAAATAAAATAATTTCGTTATTTATATTGTATTTTGCATAGTTATAGAACGAGATGTTGTCAATTGCTGACGTTGCTTTGACATAAATTTTAAAAGTTCACGACGAAATTTTATTCCACAAAATGAATAAAGAAAAAAATTTATTGAATATGATGCATATGAAATATGTTGTGTGATAATAACAATAAGATACAATAACTTCATATGTTGTAAATCATTATTTACTTCATTTTGATTTGATTGTGTTTTTGTCATATGAAGTGAATCATTATGATCTAAATATGTTGATAAAGTATGGTTATATGATTCGTAACTATCATAGGGATGCAAAGATATTTCTTGAGATTTATCGATTGAATACGTATGTTTAAGTGAATACATTTTTAGACCAATTGTACATATATGTGAAGGAGCATTGAGTACTAAGAAACATGTTGACACAAGAATGAGCATGCGTGTGACACGATATGACTGACTTTTTGAGCGTATTAGTGATGGGCGCTGTAGTAAATCCAAAGAACGAGCACGTTCATTGATAAGAACAAGACCATCAACTGGTTGTTTTTGAAGAATTGTGCCCTAGAAAGTATAAAATGAATTCATTAACGATGTATTATTTAAAACACCTTGATGAATTCTTATTTTTATCCCTTTATACTTTTAACAATAGAATTATAATCGTGTATTAAATCACTTATCACACTACAATAATTCTGTGTATTCATCATAAATAAAAGATCGTTGGAGCAATTTTCCAGTCCCTAGTGACATTTTTATATATACTCTATGAACTTTGTTTTCCAAATATTATAGTTTTCTTTATCCAAAAAATAGATAGATTAAATTTTTATTTTTTTTTTTGTATAGATTGTTTCTTTTTCAATTATGAATAATTTATCCGATGAGAATTAATTTTTATTGTATATTATGAATAGAATCCTTTGAGAAATATGTTAAATGTAAAAGCGCTCGTATTAGGTACTTATTTTGTACTGAAAAAGACCGTAAATACATGAAAACTATATCCGTTTTCTTTTCCATACCTTTGAAGTTGATAGGGCCATATTTTCATAAATTTTTGATCGAAAACGTCTATTTAATGAAAATTCATAAGGTGAAGAAGGTTTCTTTCGAAAGCTTATTGGTGAAATTTCTGATTGTTCTTTTCGCCTTGTAAAACGAAATTGTTGATTATTTTGAAAACCTTTTTTTAAATGATTTATAATTAGCACATTTAATATAGCTATTATTGTAAATGGTATAAGAAATGATAGTAATGCATCAGATAAAAACCATGTTAAGTCTAATTCTTCATGACAACCATCATATGCATTATTTTGTACTAAAGATACACAATAGATTAAACCACAAATAATAAATAATGAAACAACTAAATAATGTATAAGATGAATTTTTTTTTCAATAAATACACTTAATGGAAATCGAACAGCAATAAAACGTTGGGCTGTAAATTGAGCAGTAAAACAAGCTGATAATAATTCAGCTAAATGAGAAAGAAACGATAATAAACGACACAATTGTTCACTATTAGATTTTGTTATATCATTAATACAACGACATACAAGCATAAAATTAAATAAAAGATCTGTCAATGCTAAAATAATAAATATGTATAGATAAATTCTTTTTATATTTATTAATTTTATTATTTACCAAGAGCAATCAATGTACAATTGTTAAAATTTTTTGAAATAGTTTTTTTTGATAACATGATTATTGTAAGGAAATTTCCACAAATACCAATAGTAGAAACAATAACAATATATGGAAATGATATTTGCATAAGTATACCCAGAACATTTCGCATTGTGTTTTCTTCTGTATGACTATCATTCGACATTGTATCTAATGTTATTGGAATAAAAATATTCAGAATAATAGATATAATAGTATATTTAAGACATATAATCTAAAAGTATAATTTCTGTCTTACTTAAAAAGTAAATAGCATATCATATGTCTAACGAAACCGAGTGTGATAAATAGTAATGAAATACTGTGAGAGATGTGAAGGGCATGTCGTAGTCAATTTTCTTGCTTTTGTCAGTTGTCTTTTCTAATGCAATGTTAAACAAGATAAGAATGGCAATAAAAAGAAAGCACTAACAAATAAGGAAGAGGAAGGAAAGAAACATGCAAAGATTCTATATTCTTAATAAGCAAAATCAAGAGAGATAGGCAACTAACTAAATAAATTTATATCCGACTGGTGATGCACTAAAACTATAGATATATTTTATAATACTAACTAAGTTAACTCTATTTCATTACTTAAAAAAAAGAAAATTTCATCTTTAATTATTCAATTAATCATGACCTTTTAAACAAATTCATCGACAAAAAACATAAATATACTAATAAGATAATTTTTCACATCTACATGTCTCATCATTTAATTGATATGAAAAAAACAAAAACACTAAGAACATTTTATTTTATTCATATCTAATTTAGCCTACGCTGTTTTCTTCTCAAATAAAAAAAACTGTCAATAAGAAATTCATAGATGAATATCACATTTATTTTTAATAAAAAAGCTCTGTTATAATATTTTTTTCAAGAATGTTATATTAAAATACAACAACTCTGATTAAACTCACTACATATGATTGATGTTGACTTAAATTGACGTACATAAATTTACAGTTCTTTTCAATATTGTAACAAATTTTTATTTTTGATATCCATAAACAAATTACTAGACATGCTATATTTATTATTCTTAAAAGAAATAATAATGGATAGGCGTAAGTGAAATATTTCTATTTTTTCTTAGAAAAAAAACTTCAAATAAAAACTTTTTATTTATGCTATTTACTCTTATATGATTTAGACACGACTATAATAATATAATTCAGATTAGTTGAAAACTATAAATATAAAAAAGGCTTTTCTCGAAAAAAAAAGCAATGATATATACTAAGTGCTTTCTTTATATACATATATAATGAATGTGGTAATTCAAACAGAAAATTCCTTCTGATAGATGTTGATCGAGAGACTATTTTAAAGAAATATCTTAACAACTAACAAATGAGCAAAGAAAAGAAAAAAATATTTGTTACTCATGAAAAAAATCTTATTCTAAATGAGTTTCTAAAAAAAAATATTTTATCCACAAGGTATTTTCTAGAATTATTCATTAGGAATTTGCATTAACTAGATTATATTACTTAACAAATTAACAGACATTGTAATGAAAAACGTTTATTAGATTTCTGTGCACGATAACGGCTTCACACTATTCTATGACGTTGAAAGAAAGAAGAAAAAAAAGGGCTTTTATTATTCGTACTGAATACATCAATTTTCAGGAAATAATCTATTAATTTCGTTAAAAAAACAGACAAAATACGAAGTAATTGTAAAGTAAATAAGGAGTATCTGTACTTACTTTTATCCAACGTTGGTTGTGTCATTTATCATTAGAATATTAAAGTAAATGTGATGTAAATAAGCAAGGTGGATGACAAGTGTGTCTAACAAATATGATATAGTGGCTGAAATAACTAATGATAAAGGTGTGTGATGAAGCGTAGAAACATTATATTTTTTGTTTCAGTGTGAATATTATCTAACGTAAATAAAGTCAAAAAAATCTTTATACAGACAGTAAAAGATTATAAATCAAAAATAAATAATAAAATATGATTGATCTATTTTTTTGTTGAGTTCATAGATTACTTTTTCCCATTATTTTCAATAGATCCATAAAAATCAGTAATGACAATATGTGGAATAATAAATACCATTCTTTTTAAAAACTTGATTGATATTTATTTATTTGTTTTGTTTTATTCGATTGATTTCAATTGTTATATCAACTGATGACTGTGAAAAGTATACTTACTTTCTTATTGAGTTATGTCAAGTTAAACTGAAAAATGATGTATCATAAATCAAACTGTCACACAGTATGCAGATAATATATGAGATAGAGACAGAAACAATATGTTGAATGATTGTCGCGCCTGGTTTTTATGTGAAAATATGTGGGATGAGATAAAATGGATATGAATATTACTAAGCTCTTCAGTTATATTAGGAAAAAAAGTCCTTAAGATCAGTTAGTCCATAGCTTATTTGCATTTTTTCTTCAAATAATATATTAGTGGTATAAGACCACTCTCTATAAATTATTTTACGATAAAAAATAGATACTTATTATACTAAATTAGTTAATTAAATCGTCACTATTATTTCCTAATAGACATTACAATACGAATAAATTATATGATATTATTTTTAGCTATTTTTAATATACCTTTTCATGAAGAAATATAATTTATAGTCATGCTTTTAAAAATAAAAATAAAATCCATAAATATCATAATGCGATAAATGTTTTGGAAAAAAAGACTTCTTTTACGAATGTCATTGTAATAGGCTTCTGTTTTGTATATATAAGAATTTATCATTCTAGATAGAAAAACATGAATCTATATATATATATAATGTAATGTAGGGGAAAGTATTCTGTAGAGATATGATTATAACAAGGATAGATGAAGATTATAATATTTCCATTTATTGACGATGACTGTTTTTAACATATTAAAACTTATATATATACAATTAACTTCATCCGATGTAGGCTTTTTATCTTGATTATATTACGACGGATAAAACTTAATTTATATTATATGCCTCTATGACCCAATTTCAATAAAAATAAACAAGAAAAAAGGAGTAAAATTTACTTTAGTGTAATACTCACACGTGGTGTATATATATACGTAAATACGTATAACGTCAATAATATGTTGCAATCGAACAACACAAGCGTGATTACTTTTTTTCTCTTTTTCTTACTCGATAAATAAATGTTGTTCGTTGTTAATAATTCACAGTGTCTCGACATATTAAATACAATCGTGATTAATTATGATGAACGAACTTGTTTTTCTTTCTTTTCATGTGATTAACAAAAGAAAAACAGGATGAAACGTTCGTTCTCATTGATTTTCTATTAATATTTTCTATAAAAATGAAAAACATCGTCATTGCTCTCGATCAACATCAATTGTCATGTAATAACATCTAAAATAAGTCCCTTGATAATAGTTTCATTAAATCTAACATATCGTAATGGTTTAATATCTTATTTCGCTTTCTAAGATTAAAAAAAAGATATATATTCATGCTTGTTTAAGATCAATATTCATTAGACAATCTATATTATATAACATCAAGTTTTATTCAATAAAAAATAAATCGATTTGTCAAATATAATATTCTTTATCTTCATAGATTTAAATTGAATTTGATATAGAGAGACCCTTTAAGTTATCAAATAACTGTTGTATGTGTTCAATTATACAAGCTTTTGTCTTTTTCATTCGAAAAGAAAATGACAATAGTTCGAAGCGTTCATCCTTCTTTTGAAATTGAACGAACAGAACGAAAGAGTTCATCTGTATATTATTTGTTGAAACGTTAAGAGCATTTGTCATTTGTTCTTTTTTTTTTCAATTACTACAGATACAGCAGATCAGTTGTCATCTTCTAACGATGATATTTCCTATTATTATTATTATTAAATTCATTTTAATAATTACCATAATTGAATCAACAATAATAGAAATTCCAATTCGATTGATGACATATAATGTCATGCGTGGACGATATAATTGCTATGAAGAAAAATTAAAAGCAAATGAAAATTTTCGTCGTTCAATAAATATTACAAATTTTAATAATCAAGCTGATTTTGTACGAACGAATTTAGCAACTATAGCAAATCATATACGTCAATATGATCCAGATATAATTGCCATACAAGAAGTACAAGAATCACCATCATCATCATCATCAATATCAAATAATAATCAAATACCTACAGCTACATATCTTGCACAACAACTTGATATGACATTTACATTTAGTCCAACTTTATTTGATAATGAAGTTCAAATGCAATATGGCAATGCAATACTTTTAAATCATTATAAATTTCGTATTATATCAGTAGAAATTCTTTCTTTACCACTGGGTCTTGAACCACGAACTTGTTTATGTTTAACAATACAATCTCGACAAACGAATATAACATTTCGAGCATGTTCGATTCATTTGGATCATCATCCAACTGATAATAGAATTCGTTTACAACAATCAAATACAATAATTGATTCGTTAACAAAAGGAGAATATTATCCAACAGTACTTTTAGGTGATTTTAATGATAATCAAACATCAGCAACATTAATAAATTTATATAAATATTTTTTTGATGATCATTCATCGGATAGTTCGCGTCCAACATGGTCTGAATGTAATGAAATATTAAAAGATAAAATTGATTATATACTATTAGATCGACAATCACAATGGACAATAAAATCATTTTTACATGGATTAAATATGAAAAAATTATATCCATCCATTGATATAACAATGCTATCTGATCATGTACCATTATTTGCTGATACTAGTCTAAGTGTTTCAGTAAAATAATTTGTTTTTCTCAGATTCTGTATTCAATGATGTATACGAGATAATTAATAAATGTCATTTACAATTCTTTGATTTCTATGATCCATATCTTATTTATAAGATGGAATAAACAGAATATTATTTCTATCAATTCATCAAAGAAATAGAAAGATATTAAAAAAAATTTCTTTTATAATATAAGAATATTTGATTTTGCCTTAAACCTAAATATATAAACTAAAAATTGTTCATTATATTAGAACAATAATTTAACAAAAGAATAATAAACTTCTTTATTTTTTTGAGGTCGTTATTGTATGAATAATTCGAGCTTATAGTACATCGTTAGAAAAACATCTGGAAATTGTCTTATTTTTCGCCCAAGAAAAGTACATTTCAACATAATAATGAAGTTCGAAATACTTATTACTGAAAGGAATGCCTCGAGTATTTTGGCACAAAAACATATCTTCAACTCCTACGCCTTTGTTATGATCGAGGGCGTGTTATTAGTAGAGAACAAGTCAGAAAAAAAAGAAAGTAATCTACGTATTTCTTTTCTTTTTGCCAAGAAGAAAAAAACGAGACGTATAGAAGAACAGAAGAACAAAGAGGAGGTATATTCTGTTCCTGCTTTTTGTACGCATGTTTTTGCCATAATTTTTTCTTCACTTTTTTTTCTCACTTATAAGCTCGACGCCACTGTTATCGTCATTGACGACATTATTGCTATTTCTGTTAGAAAAACAACGACAGAAGTAATAGTAATCGGAGCACTAAGAACAAGCGCTTTACACCACTATCAACATTCTGTTAGTTGGCCTTGATCCTGTGTGTGTGTGTGTGTGTGTCATGTCACTTCTCTTCTTCAATATGAAAGTGCATTCATCCACATGCATTGTTTTTCTTTAAGTTTTTAAATTATAAAAAATTCTTTTCAACATTATTTTCTCTTTTTTTTTCAAACCTAGAAAAATATATTATTCTTAGGAAAATATTAACACGTATGTATATATATTTTTCGTAAAGATAAATGTTTTGATTTAGACTGACAGTTGTTTTTTGTTTTTTCTTTGATAAAACAAAAAAGTTCATTTAAGGAAATATTTAGATAGTGCTGTTTTTTAGAATAACATAGACATTATCAAGAGTTTTTAATCAAAAACTTGATAATATAGAAAAAAAAAGAAGTGACATTATCGAGATAAACATAGGATATATTTGTCTAGTTAGTTTTTTATTTATGCCACCACCTCCACATTATCACGATATTTACTATTTATTTTTTCCTACATATAATTCATTCAATTCCTCTTTTTTTTCTTCTTTTTCTTCTGTTGTTGTTATTCAACTAAAAAATATTTAATTGATTTATTTTGTTCTCGAAAAAACAAAACTAAAATGTTTCGATTATTAGTCAGAAAAAAAACACATATATATACATATTCAAAAGTATTGAATAAAGTACATTCGATTCTATTGTTAGAAAAATTTTGTATTATTTTGTTTGTTGCTTAACCATAGGCAAGTTTTGTTTTTCGGGAGTTTGCCGTTTTTTAATGGTCGACTCTCTTCTAATCTCTGTTGCCTAAGGGATATCCGTGCATTTTTTTCTTTGTTGTATATAAACTGTTTTCTTCGTTTAGTATTCGTTCTTGATGACTAGCAATTAACTAATGAATATCAATGTAGTTATCTTGCACCTTTAAACCTTCTACATATATATAAATATATAGACAGAGACCGGTAATAAAATATGAACATTTTATATATACATTACAAATGCGAAAGAAACATTTTTAGTTGTTTAATATTGATAAAGAAAGTTTTTATTGATCACATGGTGTTAACATACGTTATATTCTATAGATACATATTTAATCTGTTTTATTATATTTTTTTTTCCTGAGTCGTTAATAAAACGATAGTCATATTTACTGTAACTGACGTCAGCATTAACGATAAGAGTCCTTTGAGAGAAAAATATAGATAAAAAGTAAAATCAACTTAGTTTTTAGACCAAAAGTGGGCGTATATGAGAGATATTGTTGTCAAATAAATATTCATTAAAAAATATTATTACAAAAACAAAAAAATAAATCAAAAAATATAAAATAACGTTTGAGTAAGTAGTATAGAATTAGTCAACTAAATCAAATTTATTTATTGAAAAATTATATTAGGATCAAATATTTTAACAAATTATTTTTTCTTTTCAGAAAATCATAATAAATAGAAGTCATCCGGATATGAAAATATCATAGAATAGAATAAATCATAATCAAATAAGAACAAATCAGATATTAAATAAAGCTCATATAAAATTTTCTTATCAAATCTTTATATGACTTCGACTAATGTTATATAACATTAGTAGCAGTACTATAATTATTTTTCTTTTTCATTCTACTATCTATATATTTTAGAGTTATTAGGTCGTAATGACAGAAAAATTTTTTTCTATTTTATTTGAACTTTTAGTTGAGAAATCTAGATGTACTCTTAATATTGATCTCAGCATAAATTTGTTCGAAGTGATACTCATATAGTACTTGATATATGTTCTTAAGTGAGGAATTAGATACTCAGAGTTACATAGAAATGTATGTATCATGTTTATAATTTACATAATTTGAATCTAGCGGAAGCAGTTCAAGTATTACCTGACTTTCGATGGAGAAAAAAAGATTAGATAGATGATTTAGTATTCATTTTTTTTCCCTGTGATCTGTAAGAATGCATGTTCTTCCATTTATTGACATAATTTACTAAAAATAGGATTTTCGCGGATGTAAATATGTCTTTTGGTTCTTTGTTTATTCATTCGTTCGCCCACCCCTAACTATCATCATTTGGTTAACAGTTGTTATTTGTTAGTTTCCTCGTTTATTTTCTTCTTCTTCTCCTTCTTCTTCTTCTTCTTCTTTATCATTATCGTCTTAGTGCACACACGCATTTCTCATCCTCCGCATGAAAAAGGATGCTATCAGCGTTTGCGCTTATAGGAAAAATCTTCTTTTTCTTCTTTTTTTGTTCTTCCCATCATACTCTCGTCCGTATGCACGCACATTTCTAAGATAGAATAGAAAAACCAAGAGACAAAATGATGATTATAGTAGCACGCGAACATTAAATACAAACAGGCGGTATAAATATTCAGATTAAGTAAATCTACAAACATTTTTCTTTTTTCTTTAGCTTTGATAATATTAAATATGCAAATTTTTAGATTGAAATTTTTTATTGAATGTACACAATCAATTCAACTCTAACACATTGTCTATACGACTATGTGCATTTTCGACTTATCGACATCATCTAAAATATCAATTGATCCTATGGAATTATCTTCAATGCATTCACCCAAACCAAATATATCTATTGACGAACAACAAGAATTACCATCAGATATTAATCATGTTAAAATTGGAGCTCGAACAAATACTTCACCAAGTATAAATGGTAGTCGTTCAGATGTTGATTCACCTGTTCGTAGTTTTGCACTTATTGAAACTGATTCCAATGAACTTGATCGTATTATTGATATACTTCGACAATTTTTTCCAACTACACGTATTGTTGAATGTAATAATTCATCATCATCAAATCCAAGTCGTACACCAAGTCGTTCATCATTAGCAGCAGCACCACAACAACAAACATCATTTGAATCAAATAGTAGTTTACGTGTTCCTCAATCAAATATACATCGTTATCGTTCACATAGTCAAAGTATATCTGAAAAATCTTCATTTGAAAGTGATCATTTACAAAATTGTTCAACATTATCACCAGAAATAGCTAATACTCATATTAGTGATCAAGTAACATCAAATACAAATTCACAAGTAATAAAGTTTATATAATTTTTGTTTTTTTAAATTTCGTCTTCTTATTATTATTTACTTAATTTAGATATTTAAAGGTAAAGTAAAAGATTATTTACAACGTCGTTATCTAGAACAAATTAATGAACATCAAACACGTAAAGATACATTTACAAAATGTCATAGTGATGATTTTAATTGTCGTCGTTTAAAAAGAGATTCAACAGCTGGATTTGTTCAAAGTTTTGAACATATATCACAACCAGAACATTATCATCATCATGCATATTTAAATTCTTCTTCAATACCATCAACAATCAAAGCACATTCATTTGATTCATCATCATCTCTTTTACTTCAACATTCAGTATCGGATACAAATTTATGTTGTGCATTAAGTGCATCAGATACAAGTTTTATTCCAACACAAAATGCAAGTATTATACGATCACAAAGTAAACGTGGTTTATTACAACGATGTGCAACGATTGATATGGAAGATATACCAACAGTAACTGTTGAAGATGCACAAATGACATCATCACCAACATCACCAGTAATTAATGAAAATCCTGAAGGAGGAAAAATTACATTTAGTATTGAACGACCTGATGATGATGATGATGATAATGGTGATAATAATGATGAAAAAGAATCTCTATCTATTCCAGTAAATAATCAACATGAAAGAAAATCTCGTCCATTTCGACATTCAAATTCTGATCAACAAACAAAAAGTGATTTAACAAAAATGAATTATCATAATCCGAATTTTCTTGTACCGTTTCGACATTCATTTGATCATCAACATGAAAAACAAACATCACCATCAAATGTATCAACAATGTCATTTGCAAGTGGTACATCAACAGCATTAACACCTTATTCAGCAGCAAGTGATCCTGGTCCATATCAACAAATATGGACACATACACCAACAAATCCATATAATTTAGTAAATTTTCACTTTCCAAAAAGTCAAGAACATTTTGCTGCAAATGCACAAGGTAGTATTGCTCAATTATCAACATTAACAAAGATCTTATGTGATGAACCAAGTGTATTTACACCGATTACTCCAAGGTAAAAGAAAAAACAAACAAAATCTTATAATTCAAATTAAATATTATATTTATTTAGATTTAAAACAGAAACACAAGAATCAAATAATACGAGAGATTCATCATCATCATCATCATCTGTACCATCATGTCAAATTTGTCGACAACAAACTGATTCTCGACAAATGTAATAATTATGATAAAAATGTATAGAATTTCTTTATAATATATATTCTATCTTTTAGGTATTTAGCTCATTATCGTACACATCTGGAAAATCCATGTGAAGATGATAAATCCGGTATACTTGATTTTAATAATATTGACAATACTTGTGATCGTCCTGGTGAATTGCGTAATTATTCATGTAAAATATGTTCAAAACGTTTTTCTCGGTAAATTCTTTTTTTTTCTTTTTGGTAAATAATATTTTACATTTTTTGCTTCTTTATAGAAGTGATATGTTAAATCGACATTTACGTTTACATTCTGGTATACGTCCATATCGTTGTGCAATGTGTAATACACATTTTTCACGTAGTGATCATTTATCAACACATTTACGTACACATACAGGTGAAAAACCTTATACATGTCCAGAATGTTCTTATGCTGCATGTCGACGAGATATGATTACACGACATTTAAAAGTTCATTCAAAACAAAGATCAGAAAGAAAAAATGCAACATCAAGTTTAGGTTCGAGTAATGAATCATAAAAAAGAAAATACTGCTCGTATTTTCTTTCCTAAGAACTAATTAACATTTCCTTTCTAGTCATTTCTTTATTTTGTTCAGTTGTTTGTGTGTGTGTGTGTGTGTGTATAGAGAGAGAAAGATTATTGACGCTGGCGTCAAAATTCTATTTTAAGGTACTAGTAATTTAACTAAAACCCGGTTTATGTCTTATATTTCTTTTTGTTTGTCGTTGACTCTTTTTTTTGTATAAAGACAAAAGAAAAAAAGAAAATAAATTTTCTAAAACCTTGATATATATATATATATATGGGTGAATCGAACTATATAAAAAAGAGACAAGAAAAAGATAGTTTATGATGATCTATTTGATGTTAAAAATAACGTTTTCAGGAAACAAATGAAGACAACTGACAATGTTAATTGGAATGAATTTCAGATGAAAAGAAATACTCGTATCTGCTTGTCAATGTTTTCTATAATGACATTTTCCTTCTGGTTTTATTCTTTCAGTACATTTATTCTTTTGTTCATTTTTATCTAATTAGTTTTTCTTTTTAATCTAGATTAATAAAAAATAATGCTACTTGTTTAGAAATTAGCAAAAAAAATATTTGATATTTTATTTATCCTTAACAATTTCTTTTGACACAAAAACAGATTATCAAATGTCTACGACATTTACATTTGATGCTCTATAGCTAGAAGAAAAAAATAAGGGCATCATTTTTTGAATAAATAAGGATTATCAAGTATATAAAGATTTATAAATTTTCATTAAAATAAATCATACAGTGATGTGACACTTTCAGACAACTAGTCAAAATTTTTTTAATTTATTTCAACATCAATAACAGATATTAAATATTAGCACATGTGTTAACCTCTATAGATATGTATACAATTCTCCGTCAGCTAAAATACATTCATAGCATGAGACACTTCGGTAAATATTGACAACAGAAGAGATGATAGGATAAAAAGGTCATAAACATTATTCATTTAGATTCTTTGATATATCAGTTTTTTTTCATAAGAAAATAGAAGATATCAAGTTTATTTATAAAAACGTATCATAAAATTTTAGTTTTTTTTTCTCAATTATTATCATTTTCTACTTCTTCATCGGGATAATCGATTTCATCACTATCATGATCAGAATCAATTCCTGCTTTTTCTCGACCAAGCTCATCTCCATGATTATCTTCATCATCACTTTCATTCTTTGTTTTACGATATCTAAAATGCAGGGCAAAAAAAACAACTTATTTTCAATGTAGAATTTGTAAATATTTACGTGGAATCATTTTTAGATGTCGTAGGCGGAGGACCAAATGTTGTTCTTGTTAACGACATATTACCGAGTAATCGTGCTGTTGTTTGTTGAATTAAATTTTCCTGTAGAAAACAAAAGAAACAATTGTTTTTGCATTTACAAAAACAAAAACATCCTTACTTCTGTGTGTATCTTTTCTTCAGTATATAATCGAACAGCTTCATCTAAGGAAATAAGTTTTGCTTTTGTTATTGTTTGTTTACTATTACGTTGAGCTTGTCGAGCTTTTAAACGTTGTTTAACTTCATTTAAACGTTCATCAGAAAAATTATTATTAAATTCTTTTTTATTCAAATTTTGTACAGGTTTTTCAAGATAAACATTTTCTTGAGATATTTCTTCGATGTCATTTGATGATACTGTCATTTCTTGAAACTGGTTTGTTAAAATATCACAATCCATAGGTGATGATGGTCTTACAAGATAATTTTCAATTTCATTTATTGCATTACGTAAACGTTCACCTTTATCAGGTAAAGCATTAATTAATCGTCTAAATTATTATCACAAAAAAATAAGTCAAATAATATTTATTTGTCTTACGTATTATTTAACATTTGTTTATGTTTATTGAGTAGAACTCTTAATTCACCTTCACTCATTTTACTATAATTAGGTTTTTCCGTTTGTTTCATCATCTAGAAAGAACTAAGTTAAATAAATAATCTGAATTGAAGTTTTTTACATTTCAGTTAACTTCTTATTGGAAACGAAAAGAAGAATTTATATCGACAAAAATTGAAAGCTAATATGATCTTTCGAATTGTTTTCTCATTTTACTATTTCTGTAATACAAAACATTAAAAATTATATTCATATTTATTATTGTTCAAAAAAAAATAAATCCATGAATGTATAAATAAAAAGTTATATTCTCTTTCACTGGTATCACAAACAACACTGGGCGGATAATTAAAATATAAAAAGCGAAAAAAAAAATACATAAACCGGTTTTAATAACACCGAGATCAAGAAGAGCGTTTATATCACGAAAAAAGCATGAATGTGTTCACTGTTCTATAAAAATCTATTGAGAAAACGAATACAAACACACAACAACAAGAAAACAGAAATAAAAAAGAAGAGATAATCTTGTACGGTTTTTCTTTAAAATTGCATTTTTAACATATAACGAATACGACATTGATCCTCTCTATAAACCAAATATTCTGATTGTGCAAAACTTGATGATGTATAAGTTGTTTGAATTGGTTTACCAGCTGGCACAATGATTTTCTTGCCTTCAATAGTTATCGATGTATCATCTTTTGGATCTATTTTCAAACAATATAATTCATTATTTAAATAATATAAACATTAAATTTCAAACCTGGTTCTGTTTGACCACGAGCGACAATAGAATCGAAGTTAGCTGGTGGTTTTTTTAATGATGAATCATCTGATGTTATTGTATGTTCTTTACCTAAAGCTACTTCATTCTAAAATTATAAAAAATTAATTTTAGATTTCTTCTAATGATTATTAATAAAAAAAAATGTCTTACTAGAAACATAATACCAATTTGTTTGCCTTGATCTTGTGTTGTACCAACTAAAATATTTATGTAGAAGAAATAATTAATAACATTTCGTATAAAATATTTTAACTAACCGTATCCACTACTTTTGCCATTTTCGGAAGCAAAATAAATTCCTTTACCAACACGACCACCGGAATGAGGCATAATACGAAGACCTGATTTAAGAATAGCAACAACAACAGCTACATTAGTACCATGCCAAAGTAATTTTCGATGAACAATTTTATCATGTGAAGCAAAACGTTCACCCTAAAAATCGATATTGAGAAATATATGTATTTTTAATTTTATCTTTGTCAAATATTTACTTCTCCTTGACGACCAACACGCCATACATCAATAACATTACATTTACGATAACCTTGAGTATTTGCTGTATATTTTGTAATTATCTTAAGAACAAAGAATTTTTTTTCATAAAATAAATTTCAAATAAAATTGATTACTTACTTTAAATTCCTCACTGTTAGGATCGACATGTTCAAGTGAACAGTTTAATAATTTATAATTAGTATCATATGGATGAGGTTTAGCTTGTTCTGCTTTTTTCTTAGTTGTTTCATCATCATCCTTATCTTTTTGAATACTTTGAGCTAATTCAATATCAGCTAAGACCTATTAAAATAGAAGAAAAATTTATTTTTAAATCTATTAATCTTATTTTATAATATACCGCAAGCATATCATATTTTTGTTGTAAAGCTTCACGTGTATCAATTGGTTTAGGTCGTACTCGTCCAAAATCATGTGGAATAGCAGTATAAAATTTTGATGAAATATCGTTATATGAACCTTTCTTTTTATTTTCCATAACTGCTTCAAGTTCTTCTAAGATTTCAAAACCTTTTGCAATTTGACTTTTACTCAATTTTCCTAATGGCATTTTTTTAACATCAATATCATATGTTTTTAATGCATCTTTAAACATATCCGTATCGAAAATAAGTCGAAGTAATGATTGTGTTGCGACATCAAGTTTACTTGCTGCATAAATTGTACCATCTTTAGATTCAACTATTGCTGATTTATTTGCAGGTTTTGCTGATTCTTCTTCATCGTCTTCGCCACCACCAGCAACATCAATTAAATCATATTTACCAGCAACTTTGTTAAACTGTGCACGGTTATCCCCTAGTGTCATATTTATATTTAATATGAAAGAAAAACAAGAAGTTATTTTTTCTAACTTACAATTATTTTTAGTTTTATCTTTGAATTTACTGTTAAATTGTTTAATAGCTCCATCAGCTGAAGTAAATGGACCAAACATTTGACTAGTACCATTTTCACCCTAAGATTATAAATTTATTATTCTACAATCTGAATATGTTATTATTTTTAACTTACTACACGACCCCAGCGAGTCCATGCATAAAAATTACTACCTTGTTTAAGTACTTGAATGACATAAAATTTATTATTATTTGCACCAATATTTGTTTGATTAAGCATTGCATCATAATCATCCAAAACCTTTCATAATATATTGATAGATAATCAATGAAAAATTTTATAGAAAAGAAAAAAACAATTACTTGATAATTAGTTGAACCGGGTATGTTTTTATCTGGTAAATGTGTTTTTGTTTTCTTAGCATCAGACTCACGTAGTTGTTTTATTATATCAGCTTTTGATGAAGTAGCCTCTTCCTAAGATAAAATATTAATATTAATCTAAATTTAAATTAAAAACAAACCTCTTCTTCTTCTTCTTGCACTACTTCTTCTACTTCCTCTTCTTCTTCTTCTTCAACTTGTTTCTTGGTTCGTTTTGATTTAGGAGCTAAACATTCATTGAAATTATTATAAAATAACAAAATCAATCAGGATACAAACCACTCTTAGTAGCAGGTGCTTTGCGTTTGGCTGCAGTTGTTGCTGTTGTTGTTGTTGTAGCTTTTGCTTTTGCAGCAGAAGCAGCACGTCTTTTTGGTGGCATCTTGTGTTCAGAGAAAAATGATTATTTTTCTAAAATGAATTGTTAATGAATAAAATACGTTTTCTTACCGAGTATATATAGTTATTCAATAGATAGGGTGGCACAAAGGGAGACAAACATCAAAATAGAAAAGAATTGCAAACGTTTTGTGCAATACCAGTCAATACTTTTTCATTGGATCTGTTTTGTAAAATAATGATTGAAACCAAAAGAGGTCGTTCACATACAAACAATTTTACTATATGGTTTTATATCTTGTCATTACAATCGAAAAATTATTTTTATTCATATTAATATTAAACAAAATAAATGTTGACGGTTTAAATTAGTTATTCCAATGTAGTGATAATTATAATAAGTTTCGCTAAGAATTAACAAAAAAACCTGAGACTATATGACATATGTATTGCATTCTTTAGACTGATTGTAGTGAAATTATGTAAGAAAATATAAAATTAAATGTGCCAATAATATCGATTTGTTGTTTCTTTATTTGGAAATGTTTTAGTCTTAATATAGTTCTTGTAAATAAATAATGTGCATTTTCAAAAATTTTAACTGAACCCTCTATATAAGCGTTATACTAGTATGAGGATATGAGAATAGACATAGATGAATATAGGTACAGTCATCGATGGTACTGAATAGAGTCTATTTTAAACATAAACGATGATATTTATCGATATTTTACATTTCCTTACTGTTTGTTATTCTAGATAAATTGTGTCACCATACGCTTCAAACATCGTCAATCAAAATTATCATTTTTAAATGCGTATAAAAGGCATGTCTATATTAGTATCGCTAACGTCAGCAACAACCAATTTTCAAGTCTATTGAATAGTTCTCCTTCTAATTACCTGTTACCTACGAACATCAAAGACTAATTTTTTCAAAACAAAATTATCATTATTGTAATTGCTTGTATGGCAATATAAAAAAATTTAATGTAATGCGAAGCAAAGCATTTCTGTGGTTCTGCGCGAGTTTTCTTCCTTTCTCGATGTACATATTAAAAGTTGTGATTTTGCATTACGATGATCACAAAAATGGAACATCAGAAAATACTCGTTTAAACGCAAGGTGAATTTATCAAAATTGAAACAGATATCATTCGTTTTTTAATCTAAAACTACTCCATTAAACTATTAACAATGGAATTTTCACCTATCATATGTGCAATTAAATCATGAATCGTAGGTTTAGAAAGTACTATGTAAGACTCATATACTTACTTTCTATTACTCAACAATTAATTATAGTCTCGTCAAATCTCAAAGACAATTTCTTTAACAAACGATCAATTTTTAGCTTTTTCCGAGTACAAAATAAAATATTTTTCCAGTACTTAGAAAAAAGAACTTGGTATTCATAATCAAAAGTATCACATCTGATAACAGTGTATGACATCACCTATTTCAACAAACAATTCAATTGAAATTTTATTACTATTTCCTTAGGTGAAGAATAAACAAATAGCGCTGGACAAACAGAATATTATTTTTACTATTAATGTACATAAAAAGAGAGCTTACTAAAGGATAGGAAAAGTTTCACTGCTATCGCTTTTGCCACTCGAATTATCTGTTGTTGATTCTACTCAAATTTTTATAATTTCCAATTTAAAGATACGTATACAAAATCATACTATTTTTTTCAAACAAAGATCAGTGTACCATCGAAAGCTGTTCTTATGAACAATTATAATGTAATCTTCTACATTTTTTGTTTTGTAAATATTTTTAAAAAAAGAGTCAAGCCATTGAATCAAAAATCTTGTTAATTAACTGGATACTAGTTAGACTAGTTTAGTTCGACTTCCTAAACCAGTCTTGTTCAGTATCACTGAAACCAACTCGAGTAGAACTCTGTCATAGATAATTAACGTCCATAACTACAAGTCAAATAAATAGAAGCATTTCAATTGATTTACTCTCTTCGCGTCTACGCCGATGCATATGCCTACATACTCTGCGAGCAATGACTTGAAAAAATAATTTTTCTTAAAGGAATCTTTGGAATGCACTGAAAAAAAGGTGCACTACCAAACTATTTTTGCAAAGAAATCGAAACCCTTAAGAAGGTTTTGTAAACACCCAAGATACGTTCAAGTTATTTTTTCAACTGGCAAGAAATCTTTTTGAAGGGTTTCCTAGAAAACCTAAGAAACCCTCTTTGATTTCGAAGTACACCTTTCTTTTTCAGAGATTTCAAAGAAATTGCTAGGACAAGAACTCAGATTATATTAAAGTTTGACAACCATGAAAGTAATGATCTTATTTGTTTCCTCGATTCACTCATCTGACTCTGTTTCATGAGAACAAATTCTATACGATCTAATAAGATATGTACATTTAATTTTACCATCGAATGATAATATAGATTTTAAACAATGATAAATGGTAAAGAAAGTCATTTAATCTTTTTCGATTGTAACTGAGAACCCAGTATTCATGTTTATTATATACCCTTTTATATCGTTAAAGTAGTCTCAATAAAAACGTTGCTATCTCAATTCTCTTAATTTCTGGTTGATATCGTTCTTTTTTGTTTTTTTTCTTCTAACAAGTAATTACAACATCGTCTGAAACCTATGAAACAAAACAAATATTCTCTTGTCCAATGATAAGACAGAGAATAGTATATATAATCAACATATAAAGTTATACAACACGCATTTCAACAGAAGTCTACAATAACAAATCAAACTATGGCTACCTTCGTTACTTTACCGGTAGAACTTGTCTACCGCATTATGGATCATCAATCAGATTTCACTGTTTTCTTCTCAATGAGAAACGTGTGTCAACGATTCAACAGCATCCTGGACAGTTACGACCGATATCAGGTAAACTGCTCTCCACTATGTTAACCTAGTTTTTATCTATTGATTCTCATATTATTTTTCATTCCGACATTCTCTATTTAAGTACAGTAACTTGAATGAAATAGACATGAATAAACTATTTGTCACTCAAACTAATTCATCAGCTGTTAATCTCTCTCCAAAAATTCATTTTTATATTATGACAACATGAAAATACACAAAACATTCACAAGTGATTAACGTAGAATTAATTTATAAATAATTATTGACTAACCAAAAATTAGTCATTCTTTCACAAACACCTAAAAACTACATAAACTTCTAGACAATACCTTCCAGACATCCGTTACCCCTTAATAACTTCTTTTCAGTCTAGATTTTCACAGAATATTATCACACACTATGTAGCACATAAAATTCTATAACTATTCATATTGATATGCACAGGGCCTAAAACAAGGTGAGAATAACATCCATTTCTCTTTTTCAACGACAGATAAACCGAGCAACTACTCACTCTTTTCATCTAGAAACTCACCACACTAGACCTGTCCGTTAATCAAGCTAAAAATATTGAAGCAAAAAATTTGGCTGATGCATTAAAACACGATAAGGTAACCCACTTCCTCTGTGTATCAACATCGTATCTTTATCTTCAATTTTTCATCTAGAAACTCATCACACTAAATCTCAATTGGAAACGCATCGGAGATGTTGGCGCACAACATTTGGCTGATGCATTAAAACACAACAGAGTAACATTCATTCTCTTTTCATCTATATCGTGTGTCTACCCATCACTTTTTCATCTAGACAATCGTCACACTAAAACTTTTGCGCAATAATATCCATGATGTTGGAGCACAATACTTTGCTGATGCATTAAAACACAATACGGTAGCTCTTATTCTGTATTTAACTATATCGTCTCTTTACCATCACTTTTTTATTTAGACACTTAACACACTAGAACTGTCGGAAAATCAAATCGGAGATATTGGAGCACAATCTTTTGCTGATGCATTAAAACACAATATGGTAACTACAATCCTCGGTCTATCTATATCGCGTCTTTATCTTCCCTATTTCATCTAGACACTCACCACACTAGACCTGTCGGAAAATCAAATCGGAGAGGTTGGAGCACAATACTTTGCTGATTCATTACAATGCAACACAGTAACTGTCATCGTTTGTTTATCTATATCGTGTCTTTATCTTTACTATTTCATCTAGAAACTCACCACACTATATATATCAGAAAATCAAATCGGAGAATCTGGATCAAAATATATTGCTAATGCATTAAAACACAACATGGTAATTCTCATCCTCTATTAATCTATATCGTGCCTTTACCTTCACCATTCATGTAGACACTCACCACACTAGATCTGTCGGTTAATCGAATCGGAGATGCTGGAGCAAAATATTTTGCTGATGCATTAAAAGACAACACAGTAACTCTTTCTCGCTTCATCTATATCATGTCCAGACTTCCGCTTTTCCATCTAGACACTCACCACACTAAATATATCAGGAAATCGAATCGCAGATGTTGGAGCACAATATCTGGCTGATGCATTAGAACACAATACGGTAAGTGTCATTTTCACTTTATCTAAATCATGTCCTAACGTCTATTTTTTTTATCTAGACACTCACAAGTCTAGCATTCTGGTGTAATGGAACCTCGCTTGATATGTATCACAAAATCATGAGATTAATTGAACGCAATAAAAGAGGAAGAAACCCGTGAATGGTAATATTAAATATATTTGAATGACAAATAAATTTCTAGTGATGATAATGTGAATATTTTAGTGATTTATGATTTCTATATATAAAGAATAAATAAAATCGATTGTTTTAAAACTTAATTTGTTTTATAGTGGTATTGTTTGATGATGGGAATGATGCGACTCGCATCATGCGAGTCAAAAAAACGAGAGATTTTGCACAACTATTTTGTGAGTGTGGAGCGCATGCATAACAAAGCTGAGATTCTGTGTAACAGTATCAAAACTCTAAAAAAGTTCTTTCCAGTCGGATTGAGCCAAGAAAGATTTTATGTCATAGTAGTATAACTATGAAAGATCGGTTTGAATGAGAACGAATAATAATAGGCTCCTTGTGATAGTAGTAAAACCCCTCGTGGTCCCTTATATTACTATTAAACCGCGATTCGATTCCATATTTCTCAATTGAAATACACTCTGTTTTCAATAGTTCTGAACTAAGTATGATTATTTTGGTAACGTAGAATTTCTTAAGATTTTTGTGGTGTGTATGTGCTTGCATGTAGATTATTTCCGTAAAGTTGTTTGATGTATATCATATGAATTAGAAATCAAATGCAATTCTTACATCACTAGCTGATAGAAAATATATCTTGTATATGTTTGAGCTACAATGTAATGATTTGCATTTTACTAGAACAGACTTGTCAGAATATCATACAAATTGTAAATGTGTATGTGAATTTAGCGTGTTTCAGTGTATGGTTAAGTAGATGTATGAATAACGATGAATTTAGTGCTCAGAGGCGTATCTATATGATAAAATTCATTTTCTATTTTTCTAAATAGTTCAGACACTGTTACTAACTCAATATGATAAATACCTATGTTTTTTAATCTCACGAATAACTTAGCTATGATCAACTTTTTTAAATTGAACGAGTTCTAAACGTGAATTTCTTATAAGACTAATTATAAAAGTGACAAGTTCTTTTTCTGAAGAACAGAATGAAGTTATCCGATTATTTTCAATAGAACTTGATCCAATATTTTTAGAAAGGAAGCAGTAGTAAACTTACTAGTTATAAAATCAGATGATCAATCCAGTTCACTAAAAAAATAATTTAATAAATTCACTTCATAAAAAACCTATGGAATGAATCGCATTCTAACATTTAGAACCACTTTTAAATAAGATTTGTTATATATACATGGTTTTGTTTGATTAGAAATAATTTTTGATTCGATATCACGATTTATTATTATTTAAAAATCACGATGAATTAGATTATCTACAGCTATACAAAGATATAAATATAATCATATGGTGCCAATTCAGTCAGATTTATGTCAATCTCTTGCAAGAGAAAGCGAAAACGTTTAATTAATTTTATACTAAAAGTTTTGTAGATTTTGTCTTTCTTGAAACTTTTGTTTCTTTTTGTTACAAACTTATTCTTATGAATTGCATCAATTTGAATATATGTGTTTCAAAAGAAAGAAAATATAACTCATAAATGTATTGAAAAAAATATTTGTGTATTGACAGCAGAATAACAGAAATGACTTTGTTTGCATACAATGTTGTTATATGTCTTCATGGAAGAAAGAAATCAGTCTTTTTTTCTACTAGACATTAGTAAAGAAAAGCTGATAATTCTTCTACAACTGTTGAATTTACTAAGTTTCATAAGATTCAGACTTTTCATTTAATTTTAATACGAAAATGAGAATCACAATTTTATGAGTAAGTTTCGATATGAAAGAAACTGTAGACCAGTCACTAATATATTTTGGTATTAACTTTATCATGTTTACAATTAGAAAAAAATATATGTCTACATCAATCATAAAAATTATTCATATGAATACAATAATTCTTGTTCATCAAAAAACGTCGATGCAGTTATAAAAATTATATAGTAATACAAATCGTTAGTTAATGTAAAGTACATTTGACATGTTTCTTACGCTTATAACGTTTAAGTGATAAACGAGCAGCTTGTAGAAATAAATCTTGTACACCTTCATGGGTCCTTGCTGAACATTCAATATAAGCATCAGCTCTAATTTGTGCAGCTATTCGTCTTCCAACTTCATTTGTCACTATTGCTTCACCTTCTTTTTTTAATTTTTCAATAGTTTTAGCATCTGTTCTTAAATCTTTTTTACATGCTACTAATATTACTGGACATTGATCACAAAAATGTCGTACTTCTGGCATCCATTTTTCAATCGTATTTATAGCTGATGCTGGACTATCAACACTAAAACATATTAGCACAACATTTGTATCCGGATATGATAATGGACGAAGACGATCGAAATCTTCTTGACCAGCAGTATCAAAAAGAGCCAAAGTAATCTACAAAATAGAAAAAAAACTTCACATGTCTATATAATATGAATGACTAATAGAGAAAGTCTTTTTAATAAACTTACACGTTTTCTATCTACTTGTATTTCTGTTGCATGAGTATCGAAAATAGTTGGTGCATATTTAGGATCAAACGTATCATGAGTAAATGCGTATAATAAACATGTTTTACCACATGTACCATCACCAACAATGACTAATTTTCGAGTTTTTGTAATAGCTGAATTTTTTTTATGTGACATCTGAAAATATAAAAAAATATGTTATTCATAAAATATATTGTTTCGACTAGATACATATAGCATGTTGTTACCTCTTTTTATAATGACATAAAGAAAGCGACATCAAAAATGACATGTTATTACAATGTTTCATGCAT